TGGGAGAAGAATAATAATCCTCATCCTTAAATGTGATATAGCCCCTTTCACATTAGGTAACATCTCAAAGAACATCATAGTGCTGGGCAAGTACCTGAGCTGGGGGTGAGAGTGAGAAAGATAACTAGAAAGCATGGTTGAATGGGTACATTTCATGCACTTGATAGGATGAATTGCAAAATGTTTAATGAATGTGTATTTTGCACATAAATGCAGCAGCCAATTTACACACAGCAACATCCCACAGATAGTCATAGAATGTCTGAAAGTGCCTTACAAAGACTCTAAGGAAGTTTGAGCTGGTTGAGGGGAAGTGGCTGAAGGCAGTTAAAGAGAGGTCTTTAGACGGGGTTACGGAAGCAGAGAGGGAGTGGGTGAGGCAGAAGGATGGGGAGTATGGCCGTGGAAGAAAGCTGAAGCCACAGATATTTTAGCAGCTTTAAACAATCATCAGACTGGCTAAAACCAACAACACAATCTGTTAAATGTGAACCATGATGTAAACCTTGACCAGGCCTTAGACTCCGCTGGTTTAAGCCAACAAACCCATTTACACGTCAAACTTTCCCCAAGTGTAAGATCGCTTGAATATCAATAAACAGTCCTGATCAATCAACAGTCCTGAACTTGCCAAGCTGCTCATTCACTGAAACATAAAACCAAACAGCCTTCAAGAACATTCTATCACATGGAGATACCAAATCCTAAAGCAAGAAAGCAAAGGTCAACGTTAATACAAAAGGGTAGCCCCCAAAAATTTTAAAAAAGTTCCATTAATTACTTTTCCTCAAATAATCAAATTCAAATGAACAATAATATATGGAAAGTAATTTACTTACCCCCTCCCTCCCATGTGTGCCAACAGGTTTAGGTTTTCACTTGTTATTCTGTAATAAAATGGAGGAGAAAGAAGTAAACATTTAAATCTATCAGTTGACCTGCTGATACCAGGCAGATAGCCTATTAGGTTCCATTGATTGCCATATGGTTCAATTAAACTATGAAACATCAACAACATGGCAATTAATGGCAACAAGCAGATCTACACCACAGATATCTTGCAGTTAAACTAAAGTCTTGTTGGTGGGTATTACAGAAGTTTCTTTTGTTAAAAGTTGAAAATCATCCATTATAGAACACAAAGACAACGATGAAGCAATTAAATCAGAAAATATTTCCCTCTGCTGGTGATTCACCCTAATTATTCTCTTTAAAAAGAAACATCTTAACTATATGTATAGTATTATGCTGTTGCCAATCTGATTTAATTCTGAGCAGTACTGGTTAATTCAATTCAGATTTCCCAGTGTGAGTGGATTACAATGCATAGCCTGGACTTGTTTCTGAACGGAAGAAATATTCAGTGAAATTTGATTTAGACATTTTTTAATTGACAAGATTACAACAGTAATACAGCATTACAAAGTGCCCACAATAAGTGTCCAGTGTGTAGCTTTTATTGTAGACCATGAACCTGACTGGTAGCAGTAGCAGTGTCTATTTGTTTAAAATAGCAGCATTTTTGTGGCTTTCCAGAGGCTGCTGTTTGATCACATATTTTTAGTAGTTTGCTCAGCAGCCTGCTTCATGTCTTCCGTCCCTCCTCCCTCCATTGACAGGTTTACAGCCATTCTTCTCCCGTTCTCTGGACCTCCATCCCTGAGTCCCTCCATTTTGCTTGCTCCCTCCCTTCTTCTTTCAAGGCATGTCTCAAAACATACCTCTTTGATTGTACTTTTGGTCATCTTCCCCATCCCCTTTCAGTTTCTTTGGAGTACGTTTTGAAGAGTCCTGACTCTATAGTCTAACTCCTCGATGATTGAAGCAGCAGTTGCATATTTTCCCACCTAGTGTTCATTCATCTCTACTCCATGTCTGCTATTTGTTAAATGTGAAAACTCTGGAGTCAACAACTGGCATTTATATAGCGCCCTTCACGCAGGGTAGTTGAGCAATCAAGCAAATAGGATACGGTTAGTTTTGTAATTTATGTACTATTTAATCAGTCCACAAACACTCGAGATCAACTTTTACCTCGTCACAGCAAAACACAAATATGTAAGTCACTGGATGCAGGATTAGCCAAATGGAGAACTTCCAAAATCTGCTCTGCACGTTGTAAGATAAAGTTGCTGTTAGCCGGAGTGTGTGCTAACACGGAGGGACTCTGATATGGAATTCCTGAGAGCGAGAGCAGAAAGCCTGCCAGTGGAGTGTGGGCGCGGGAGGGCGAGGAGGACATGAAGCAGGCTGGTGTTTGCTGAGCAAACAACTAGAAATAAGTAATCAAACAGCAGCCTCTGGAAAGCCACAAAAATGTTGCTTTTTATACAAATAGACACTGCTACTACTATCCACCAGGTTTATGGTCTACAATAAAAGCTACACACTGGACACTTATTGTGGGCACTTTGTAATAATGGCTAAATCAAATTTCACTGAATGTTCCTTCCATTCAGACCACATCCGCAGAAATAAGTCCAGGCCATGCATTGTAATCCATTCACACTGGGAAATCTATGTGCCCTTTAGTTATTAGTATTTTATGTGGCTCTTCAGCAAAGCTTTCTGAAAATCAAAATAAATGACCCATCAATCTCCTTTTACCTATCACCTTTGTGGTTCTGGTAAAAAACTCTGTTACAACTGTACAATATGATCTACCCTTCACCAACCCATGTTGACTTCCTGATCTGTGCATATTTATCTTGATGCTCAGTTATTTCTTTCTCTGAAGATAGATACCAGTAATTTGCGTATCACTATAATAAATAATAATCCTTGCATTTGATATAGCGCTTTTCACATCTTCTAGACGTCTCAAAGCGCTTCACAAAATATACTGTAAAGTGAATTGATTGTATATTTGTGGGCGAAACGCGAGAGCCAATTGCGCACAGCAGTGTTCCACAAACAGTCATGGATTGAGGTGACCAATTGTGTTATTGTTTTTTTTTTCTTGAGGGATTATTATCAGTCGTATGGAGTAAGGAAATTTGCCCAAGGTTTCACCCTGCCGGGAATCGAACCCAGGTCTCTCGCTTGCGAAGCGAGTGCTCTAACCACTTAGCTGCAGGACTCCAATAGCTGCAGGACTCCAGAAAACAATAATTAAAACCTCTAATTTATTTTATTTCCTTTGATAGGTGGTGGGGAACTGTTTGGGCTGGAGATTTGTCTGATCAGATCCTTACACATTATTATCCAATATGATACAAATTTATATTTATGCAGCGCCTTCCAGTTTGGGAGGACATCCCAAGGCTAATTATTCTAACATTATTCTCCAAATCCTCTCTTACCACGAGATTTATAACTAGATCTGGCTCATTACTCAACCATAACTAAGTCATTAAATATGGCCTGCTCCCTAAGGTATTAAGGCAGCTTGTTTCAGAAAACCGTTCCACGAGCATTCAAGAAATGCGCTGAATTTCTATTTGTATTGCTATTCCTTTCCCTATCTATATGCCAGTTGAAATCTACCATTTAACCACATTTGTTTTCTTACAAGTTCCCACAACTGTCTGTATGGATAAATATAGGGATATTGCACAAGGCAAACAAGACTCCTTCTTGCGGTTGAAATAGATGATGCAACACAGCTTACAGCTTTGTATTTCCCATGTTAAGTAACATAATAAGTCTTCTCTGTTCCATGCTGCTAAACCAGTAATGGCACATTCGTTTTAACTTCGATCATTAACTTGCCATACTACAATATGAAAGTCAGTTTATTTAAATTGGACATTTAATCTGCCAGATATTTGTCATTTACATTAATCCGACATGACAAAGTATGACAGCATAACAGGATGTAATCTATGGCACAGTATTTGTAAACTGAGTTGGTTACATTAATCGAAATTTCCAATTTGCAAAATAAAATGGGAGGGAACCGATATTTGTGCCAGTCATCTGGATCATTATTTGAAGAAAGTTTCACAGAAGCTAATACTCGTGGAGTCCTGTAGCTCAGTGGTTAAGAGTACTTGCCTGGCAACCGAGATACCTGGTTTGAATCCCAGCAGGATGAAACCTTGGGCAAGTTTCCTTATTCCACACGCCTGATAATAATCCCTCAAGAAAACAAAAACAATAAAATTGGTCACTTCAATCCACGACTGTTTGTGGGGCACTGCTGTGCATAATTGGCTGCCACATTTCGCCCACAAATACAGTCAATTCACTTTACAGTATATTCTGTGAAGCGCTTTGACATGTTTAGAAGACGTGATAAGGCACTATATCAAATGCAAGGCTTATTATGATTATTATGGTCTTCGACGCACTGCAAACATATGCAAAGGAAGCACAGTAAAGTTCCCTCAGTGGCTCAGTTTGTAAAACTGGGCCATAGACATATGCAAGATTCAGGCTTCAAACCCTGATTGCTGCTTAGATATCCCATCCAATCTCCATCACCTTCAAAATCCACCTTAAGACTTTGAAGAATAGGCATCTCCTAATGCATTGCAACAAGTTGTACTTACATAGCACCGTCCACAAAGGGTAGTGTTCAGAACACTTAAATAGTGGCGGAGCCTGACTCCGAGCTAGGGAGAGTGTGGGGAAGTGACCATAACCAGTCAAAACGGAAGGTTTTCAGGCAGAACTTGAAAAAGGGGAGAGAGGAGGTAAGGTGGAGGGAGAGTGTTGCAGAGTTTCGGGGGTAGTTGCTGAATGTGCGACCTCAAATGGTGGAGGATGCAAGGGACAAGCAGGACACTGGTGCCAGTTGAACGGAGACGCTGGATTAGATAACAATAATCAAATCAAATCCCCAAAAAGTGGGATTAACTTAATTAACTTTTTTAATTCAGTTTTCTTCCTTATTTTTGGTAGTATGTGTAGCATTTCTAGCACCAAGTTATCAGTGGTTTTGGAGTAAGCCACCCACCATAATAAGGCTTTTGCAGAAATACTACCATGTGATAAGCCAATTGAAAAAAAAGTGAAACTTTAAGATAGTTAATTTTTTAATGTTAATAATTCCGTTGAATTATGAGTCATTAATCACAAAGGACTATGGTTTATTAAAAAATGAATGTATATTAACACAAAGTTCTGTAAACATTTTAAAATAGCTTAAATTGATAATTTAGGTCAATATATAAACTTCTTCCCTCAGGAGTGAACTACTGACTTGTTGCAGATTTAAAATTAATTTTAGTTTCAGAAGACAATTAAAAATAATAAGCAATCATTAAAAATTAAGTAGTGTTATAAAATGATCTGAATCCAGTTTTCTGTTGAAATTCTTCTGGCAGAAAACACAGCAGGTTAAATTAGGTGTAAAAAAACAAACCAGTTGGTTAAAAGACTTACACTCTGTATGTATAGTGATAACTAGCAGTGACATAGAACGGTCTTCTTCATCCAAACTAATCTTGTGTTACCATTGGTGGTATCACACCAAACAGACCCTGCTGTATGTTCGGTGATCGTATCACTTGTTACAATGTCAGAAGAACCAACTGAAGCGAGACAGATCTTTTTAAAAAGTATCTGCATAAGAGAACTATCGTTTTTGGTGTAAATGCCAGCCATGTCTCAAAAGTATTATTTTTAGATATGCCGCCTCAATTCATATGAGACTTCATAACCCAATCACATCTATGCTTCTTTACAATTGTTAGGCTTGATCCAAAATACATATCTGTTGGTTGTGTAAACGCCATTATCTGGAGTTAACCAATTCTGTCTTTTTATTAATCTTACAAGCCTGTGTTCATTTCTAATTTGGAATTCTAAAACCCTGATCCCAAACCAATTTTGCATAGATATGCTGTACTGCAAGAGTAACTTAATACATCTAGAAATGTCCAATATTTGCAACAAAAACTAGCAGTCTGCTTTGGGTTGTATTATACAGAAAAAGTTATGTTCAGTCTTTGTCGTGCAACTATTTTCCATCTTTTATAATAGAAGGTTATAGAATGTCCATTGCAAGTCAAGTTATACTGTACTGGAGTTCAGTAAAATCAGTACAACAGGGGATCATTACGAACTGCCCACATGCTAAATTTTGCTTTTAGTCATAGTTCAGAATGAGGTTGATGCTGCTCCTTCTTCCCCTCATGAGGTACACTGCAAGCTCTTTCATGCACATTTGGTCTCTCAGATTCTTTTGGTGGCTTTCCATGGTCTTCTTCCATATTATTCTCGCTTTGTTCATTCTCACCCTCCTTGTCCTCCTCATATCGTTCTTTCATTTTTGAAAAATTGGGCGTTCTCTGCTGTGCAAATCCAGGACGTACAATATCCATAATGGCTAAAAAGTCATAAGTAGTTTGCGGGGGCCTCCATTCTTTATCATGCAGAAAACCTGTGATAATTAAAAAAAAAGAAAATCTCCATTAATGCTTAGTGTGTGTATTAAAGTTAGAAAGATAGGCTGGTTTCTGCCAGCTATATTTTCAAGATTATGTTCTTATGTTTGTAAATTCTGATTTTCCTTCTGAGTGTATTTATAAGGAACCAATTAATTTTGGTAGATGTCAGCTGCAATTTTAAGGAACTTGGGGCTTTGGCCATTGTGCTAAAACTATTGGGTTAAATATACATCTGTGGATAATAATGATCCTTGTATTTGTTTGATGCTTCTCGCTGTAGCCTAAGAGTGAGCAGTTAGTGCAGAAGATCTTCTACAACTTAATGAAGCTCTGTCCAGTGGCCCCATGAAAGGAAATTTTAACACATTCCACTGTTTTGTGATGTCAATAGACCGCTATTACACTACACGTACTTTAAAGGTTCCATTGTAAAGGTAGTAAGAATAATCAAAATTATAATGGAGTTTCTCCTGGCGTCTTCGCCAACAATCCCTCGGATAAAATGGGTCATTCACTTCTGGTTTGTTTGTGGGACACACAGCTGTTCATAAATGGCCAGCTGCATTTGCCTGCAATTTACACTTCAGACTTTTACTCTGAAGTGCTTTGAGTTGACTTTCTGACGTGAAAGGTCATCTGATTTGAATTAGTCAAACTATTCCACTATTTCAACACACTATAATAGAAAGGAACTATACTAAAACCACAACAATTTGAATTTATATTGTTTCTTTACATGGGGTAGTGTCTCAGAGCTATTACTAAATGCAATGTTTTTCCCTCAAACAATGAGGTCAGGAAAAGGACAACCCTTCTGCTGTTCAGTTTCTATGCTAATGTATGGTGATTCTGTTATAAATGGACATTTACATCTGCTTAATTTGATTTCATACACACAATTCACTGTAACGCTGAATAAATAACTATGTGCAGAGAATCTTTTACCTATTAGTGATTAAGGAGCTTAGATTAAACAGGGATAACTTTGTATTTTAATATCAAGGTTAGTTCAAAATCTAAGAACAACTCATGTACCTTGTTTAATCAATTACAACTTTAGTGCTCCTTTGGTGTACAAAAATTTCCTCCAAAGATTTTTTTTACTGCTTCAAGTGGTTTCATTGCTGGATGTTCAGAGTATGAGGTTTACTGCCAGTACAATAATACAGTGGAGCCTCATTATAAGCAATGGTTTGGATCCATATAACACTGCACAATTAATGCTTGCCACAATAGATAACCGTGTTTATCTATTGCGGCAAGCATTAACAGATAAACACTGTTATCTATTGCAAAAAATATTCTTTACTTACTGCTGGGATCTTCTTGTCCTGCCTGCACCTTATTTAACCAGCGCAATACATCCTTTCTTGAGATAAGCTGCTCTTCTGGAAATGCAAACACATGTCCTCCAGAATGGATGTACACTAAGACAAGAACTGGTAATTGAGGAAGATGGTTCAAATATACTTGAAGAATTTCACCTCCAACATGTGTGTTTCGTCTTAATGGGAGAGGAAAACAAGGGAAGGTATTATGAATAAAACAACTGAACGTCAAGGTTGGGAAACATCTAGCTTTCTTTCATTCTATTAAAATGCAACTACAACTTAGTGTATTCACTGGTGCCTCACGCATTAAAACAGATTATTGTTAAGACAAAGGCAAACAGAAAATGTAAAAGATCCATACAACAATCCAAGGAAACAATAACTTTGTAAAGCAAAATAATGATTTGGACATGCAGGTTTAAATCACAACATGGCACAAAGTTGCAAAGAAGGCTTTTCATACAGTACACCAGGTTCTAGTGTGCCTGATACGAGAGGGCAAAAGAATTGATGAGGCCACCCCGTGAAGATAATAACCTCTTTTCAGTATGCCTGATGGAAGGCTCAAATGGGTCCTGGCCAAAAGTTATTTTCAAGGAACACACGGGCTTCCATTTTTTCCAATTAGTTGGGCACAGAACACTGAATTAACAAGAATATTCATGTCTTTTAATTGAATTATTCAGCACATTCATGCTTTTAAGTGAATGTAAATGCAAGTTTTTTGACTGTTAAAGAGAATTCGACTCACAGATCAATCCAGCATGTAGTATAAGTCTGCAAACTTTTTATTTTAATCAGCTCAGCAAGCTCTTCTTTAGCTTTTGTGGTCTTGGGGTCATCATTATCAATAAAAAGAATGAGTAAAGGTTTCTGGGTTTGTAAATAAACAGCGAGATTTTCCACTGTGACTTCAGGCTAGTATGAATAACACAAATAAATGAACGTCAGTCTTTTCACTATTACTAAAAATTACAATTAAATTTAAAAGTTATTCAAAAGTCATTTAAAAGTGTAATAAATTGGAATAAAATGTGCAGTTTTCCATCATTAATATATGTAGGATCATAATAACTGCTACAAATGTAAAACCTAATAAAAATGCAAACTTACTACACCTAGCTTTTCTATAGGACAATAACTGATTCATCTAATTCCAGCAGAAATAGATGGAGAACGAAGATGTTGGTACAAAATCTAAATAACAGCAATTGAACCTAGATTCGGAGGAGGGCTGGAGTATTTTAATAGAAAAAAAGCTAGGGATATGGATGAAGAGGAGAAATGGGAGAACATGGATTAAAAACAAAACAAAATGATTGAGTAGATGAAGAAATATGTTGAAGGACAAATTCAAATATTTCTGTAGCAATAATTTGGAAAAAAACATTCAGGTTTAAGCAGTCTAAGCAGCCAGAGAAAATATTTATGTCATCAGCATTTAATTTAAATAGATTAGACGAATTAGATAAGTTGGATAAAAAATGTAAAAGTTTAAAATTAGCATGTGCAAACTACTTTTTGGTATCCAAAGGCATATCAATAGGCCCAGGTGCCCTGGATTATAATAATACAACATCAATGGCACAGTTAAGTGATAAAGAGGTTAAAATGAATGGACTGATACCACAGATATTTAATAGGCGCCACAAATGTGGCATCTTTAGTAATATACTTACAAACTTTTCCAATGTTGCATTTTTGACTGCATAGACTATTTCTTCAGTGGTAGGCTTTTCAATATGAATGCACTCTGTACTTGACGTCCAGTGCCTAGCAAATACCAGAGCTGGCAGAAGCACACCATATCTATAAGAACTGAATGGAAAATGTATCATTTGATCACAATAATTGATTGAGCTAGGTATTGGTTAAGACTACCTTTCCCCCCTGACAGTTACTATAGTTTGTTACCTTTAAAGTAGAAAGGCTTTAATGAAGCTTTGTGAAATAATAGTGTTGTATTATGAGTTGTTAAATTGAAAATGATTTTACCAATGCAGTAAATTATCACAAATTTAAATTTTACTCTGTATTGGATATGATTCAGAAAAAGCTGAATTGGCACTATTTTAAATTTTCCATAGGTGATTATAAATTCTGCAAATTATCCTGTCATAAACCTAAAACTACAAAAGTGACAAAAGAAAGAACACTTACAGATCTAGAGCATTTTTCTCCAAATACACTGCCATTACCACATTGCCTCGCAAGTAATTGGCAGCACCAATAAAAGCATCATATGCTAAACAAGATAAAACATTTATTTCACAATATATTAGCTAAACATATGGAGGGAGCAAACACTCATTTCAAAAGTTACAAATTTTTAAAAAATCATTAATACATAAAGTTATATAAATGTTTGCAACTTGGTGTTCAGAGATTGCCTTTGTGATTTATGTGTTGTGTTGGTCCATATATGGCTACAGTAAAGATACCAGCTGGTATCTCTCTGAAGCAAATTCTGTTCACTTTTCTGACTGGCATATCAAAACAGATCAGTAAAAGTGACTCCAATGTATTACACAAATAATCCAGTATGTCCCAGACTAAATGAAAGTAGGAGAAATATACAATTAGTATTAGCACTAGAAATAATTCTCATGGAATTACAAACTGAAAGATGATTGTAATTTATCAATTCACTCTACCTTCTTTCATATTTGGGCTGAATAGTCCGAGAACAGATAACTCCCAATACGATCTGAGATCACTGTGGAGCTCTCCTCTCAGATAAGCTTCAACTTCATCTACTGAAGTCAACTTGATAGGATGGGGTTCTCTGCTCCTAAAACAACCATCATCAAAGCAATGTTTAATAATCAATATGCTTTACTTACAAATGTCTTTTAGATGCTATTTGCAAATACAGTCATGAAACATGTAATTAATATGAGTAGTGTGCTATGACATCTTGATTTAACATCTCAGTTGACTTCAGCACACTGAATATGTGGATTCCTCAGGATGCCTTCTTTTTTTAAACTTGTGCGATAGTATTTGGAATCGTGAAGCACTCTAGAACATTTCTTCAATACAAGAATCCTGACACTACAGTCAAATAGATTTTTATAATAAATGAATATATCCTGTGCTACCCAAACAGCTGTAAATCTTAATCTAATCACTTACAATTAGCAAAGGGCCTCGGTGTAGCCTGATTACAGACAGCAGTATACATAGTCTGTTTAAATAACAATTATAATCATTTCATTTGATATAGAGCTTTTCATGTTGCTGAGACATCTCAAAGCACTTCACAGGATGTACTACAAAATTCAGCAGTCAGTTTGTGCACAGCAATGACTCACAAACAGCCATTGAGTGTCTGACCAATTTTATTCAAAAGTAAATCTATTCTTGTATATGGTTAGCCATATTTGGAGGTATTAGAACAGTCTCCATTGATAATGCACGATAAAAGGTTTGTACTACTAATTCCAGATATTGAAAAGTATAATGTGTTCTGATATGCACTTAAACTCATAAAATGTGTGTATTATAGAATAATTGATTCCAGGAAATGATTACTAGGCACTAATCTAATCAATAATTCAAAAGAAAAATTACAGCCGTTCATAACAAGTCATCTGAAACCTATCATATAATTATAGCCTTCAAATCTTTCTCTAGAATCTGCTAGATTTGAAGGCTATAATTATATCATATCCGGCTGATCCAAATTCTGTTGTCTGCATCCTCACCCTCACCAAACTCTGCATATCCGTCACCCAATCCTTGTCAGGATCCATTCTCTCCCTGTCTCCCATTGGCTTCAACTTGAATGTTACCTCACCCTATAAACCCCTCATGCTCTAACATCTCCCCGTCTCTGTGACCTTTTCCTACCCCTCTCTTCTCATTGTCTCCACAATCAGCCAACATGGGCCTGCTGTGCATCTCCCACCCCCTCCACACCACTATCGATAATTGAACCTTAACCTCTGGAACTCCCTCCCCTATACCTCCATCTCTCCCTCCCTCTCTATTCATCTTTAGAAATCTACTTCTTCACCACAATTATGGTCGCTTCACCCTTTCTACCTTCCCTTTTTCTGCTGCTTGGCATCCAATCCTGTCCTTGAGAACCATCTGAGACGTTATATTACAAGAAGGGTGCCATTTAAATGAAATTTGTTGTTCTAACATATATAGCTAAATTTTTCAGGTGATTTTTTTTTAAATTAGGCAATTTGTATTTTCCATGATGACCAATGATCTGCACTGCTTCCTGATCAACAATGAGACTGGGCCCAATTGGTGAGGACAACCTGCTCTCTACCGTATTTGAGCTATAAAATGGTACAACATAAGTATTTTTTCCTGTAGTTTACTCACAGCATAATAAACTTCAGTAGGCTTTCTGTTCCTAACATTCCATTGTACAGTAAAGGGTTGTCTCCTTGACTGTACATCTTGATAGTGGGAAATTGTATAACATTCTGTTTTGAGCAAACGTCTGGCCAGTCTCCACAGTTGACCAGAGCCAAGAAAAGTTCCTCCACATCTAGAATTTCAAAATTAAAAAGATTTAATTTTCAAATCGAAACCTGGGCAATTCGCTGAACTAAGTCTGTTCTCTGCTGGGATCAAGTGCAAAATGTTTTTTTTTCTATCAACATGCAAACAGTCTTTTTTTACATTTTCAAAAGAAAGATTGTGCAGCAGGCATTTTGGTTTCACAAATATGATGTATAGTCCAATAACAATTTTAGAAAAAAACAGAAGCGTAGTCCTTCAGTAAAACTAAGAAAATGGCCAAGGGCATGAAGTGAGAAATAACAAGAGAACATGTGCATCTCGTGCTCCAGCTGTATATGCACTTGTGCTGTAAAACCTAGCTACATGCTTTGGAGTAATCAAAAACAACATTGTATCCAACTTTCAAACGTGTACCGAAAGTTAACAAGAAGCACAGTAATTAAGCCTTTTGAAAAATCAACACGGACTGCTTGAAATTTGTACTCATTCCCACTCTAAACTGTTTAAGGATTCCATGCAAGATATTCACAATAATCTGCCCACAAGAAGCAAATATTTAAAACAAAACTAGGGTATGGTACCTGCAAGTCTGCGAGCTGCTTCCACATAGGACCGCAAAAATGTCTGAGACACAGCATCCCCTACAATATAAATTTTTTAAAAAATTTGAGCTGTGTAACGTCTGCACTACCATAGGTACTGGATTTAATGTGGCATATATTTGTAAGAGTAAATTAGCACAAAACGTCTATGGTAGTGAGTCACAATTATTTTATACATCTTGTAAACCTCATAGCCAAATCAAGTTAGTGTAATATTAGCCTAACTGAACAGGTATCCTGTTTGAGAAACCTAATGTTGTTTGACCAAAGACACTACTTTGGGTTCTATTTCACTAAAGCTCTGATGTACAAGTTGCTCTCCTGTACTTCCTGGTTTTCCTATATTTTTTGTGCATGTCAGTCAGTTAGTGTTATAATGGTAAATGTAAGAGTAGTACCCCCATATTGAATCCCATTATCGCACTTCAAACTTCAAACTCAGGGACTTGAAGCACAACAATGGGATTTCATATGCTGTATATGGGAAAACAGGACACTGTATTACACAAATACTAAAAAAGTCATAAGACTCATATGTTATCAGTAAGTTTTTCCTCCCAATTAATAGTTACAAAAGACATTTCCCCAAAAGAACAGCTTTGATGGTACAAATCATATGGAGAGTTGGTGAGAAGCAAACTTTCATATCTGTGTGTATATGCAAATATGGAAACATACAGGGACTTCACATCATGTTTATCTCATCTTAGTTGATGAATATCAAGCAGCATGAAATGTGCAATTATTTGCATATAAAATGTACGATGATTACAAATCTAGATTGTGTGAAATGATCTGGCCCAAGCAATTCAGTTTTGCTCTTTATTGTTAGAAGTATCACAGTAGCTGGTAGCATTTGGTTAGTCAGAAATTTCCTGTCCCACTCAAGCACTTGAATAACTTCACGATAAGATCTTCAACCTTTTAAGAGCTACATTGTACATTTACTTCAAAGTAATTTTCATGCTATTTTGAAAGAATTGATCTAAAAGATTTCACAGTGAATCACACATAAACGTTAAAGTAGGACTGCTGCTTAAGCAAATTAAAACATGTGTATTTATGTGTACTTATGTGTACTTTGTATGAGTACTTACAAGCAGTGTAAAACACCACCAAGACATTCGCAGCTCCCTTTAAAGTTGCATTGAAGCTTTGGTCTGTTAATTCATGAAGTAGCTCCAGATTGAGTTCCCTTTTTCTGTCCCTGTAGATAGCCTCAGCCACTTGATCATCTTGAATAGCTAAATCACAGAAATATAATAGCAAGTATAACAGACATTAATTGTTGAAATCCACATCAGATCTCAGTGGTCATCTACAATTAAGTCATCTTTAAGCCCCGAAAAGCAGTCTAGGTCAAAAGCCCTGCTTACATCCACATTATCATGCCTTTCAGCATTTTACCCAATCTGAGTCAGCACAGCTCAGCTGGTAGCACTTACACACCTGAGTTAGAAGGTTGTGGTTCAAGCTTCCATGATGGTACTTTGAATGTACATAGTTTAATCTGATACTTTAATGCAGTGAACAGCACTGTTGGAGCTGCCAACCTTCAAATTAGTTGTTAAATTGAGATTACGTCTGCCTGTTCAGATGGATGTTAAAGATCCTATGGCACTATGCAAAACTGAAGGAAGTTTTTCCCAATGTCTCAGGCAACAATCCTCCAGATAAAAATTGATTGTTACTTCATGGCTGTTTGTGGGACATTGCTGAATGAAAATTGGCTGCTTTGTTCACTTACAAATTACAGTGAATTCCTGTGAAGTGCTTTACAATGTCGTCCCGACGTGAAAGGCATTATATCAAATGTATTTCACCATACCTGTGGTATCCATGTCTTCATTTTCCTCTTCATCTTGTTCTCCAGTTGACTCATTTTTCATTTCACCTTTGACTAGACTAATAATTTCTTCAAAGGATGCCACAACCTGATAGCTAATAGCTGAAGCCTAACAAAACAAAAGATAAAAAACAGTCAAACATATAAAAAGATTATAAAAGAGGTACATTTTACATAAATTGCACCCAACTATCTATTTGACCTCTTTATGCAAACAATTATTTGGGAATTGGGCATTTTTAAAAGCAGAAACAGTACTATGCATATTGTACTGTACTGCAAGGTAGAAAGTCTTCTTGGAACTAAAATTGAGATTTACTGAAGGAAATGTTGCAGCACCATCTAGTGGACAATTGTGTATCATATAGAGAGGCTTTTTTAAAAAAACAGCTTCTTTTAGGTTCAAATTTTAATATAAGGATTTAAAATTGCTTCAGCAAATGAGTCATTCCCCTCAATATAACTCAAAATGTTGCCAACTGAAGTCCAATATTGTTTTTTGCAACTTTTACAAAACTTTTGTAACTTATACAGTCAGCATATGTTTAGCATTTAGAATTAGGTCAATCTCATAAATCAAAGCAACAGACACAATGGGCTGAATACTGTTCTTAACTATTTCTTGATAAAGAAACAAATATCATACCTCTCCAGCAGGTCTGTAGCCCACATTGACATCCAGAGGCACCTTAGGCTGTAGCTGCGTCCTGATGGAGAGATTGAAAGTGCCCATCATCAAACAAGTTGAGTTTAGAAGAACATGGCAACCCTAGGGTGTTTTACAGCAAACAAATTATTTGAGATAGTAAAGAATTAGTAACTGGTAGAGACCTATACTAACGATTAGTGTCTAACTTTCTTAATTTCTAGAATTTAAAAGCTGAAGACTGTTAAAAATAAAGCATCTCACCAGTATCAGGCAGGTCATCTAGAGGAAAAAGAAAGAGGTAGAATTGTTCCTGTGCTGCTCAAATATATCTCCAGGAAGTTGTTTGATGATTAGAACTGATATCGGTAGAAATGCCCATTAAATGGACCTTCCCAACCTCCTAGCTAAAGCGGCTGGAACCAATTATGGAGAGGAACATTTTGGCTAGGTGTATAATAATGATCAATCCATCTTGAATATATCAGGGATTTACTTCAATACAATTTGAACTTTTAAACAAATAAGATACCTAGGTAGTCATTGCCATTCCCTACAGGTCTATTGTTGCAGTCTGGGGCAGGTGTTGGGTTAACACTCTCAGCCACAAATGTCAGGTGAATCAGACCAAGACCTCGGGATGAAAAGAGGGAACTCACAAGATTACTGCAATTGAAAGTATCAAATAAAATGTCACATGCTGGGAAGGAACACTTATAAAATGTAATTCTGGGTTCTTCTAACTTGGATACTGAACCAGTTATTCAGAATAACCTTACCTTGGCACCAATACAACTCCTGCAATTCCCAGGGTCTGCCAGGCAATATATTCGGCAGTTGTTTTGTCATGTTCATAAGTCTCTTTTTGCGTAAAAAGAAAGACTACAGGCATTTTTAGCTGGACGTGGATGGTGGAGACTTTTTCTGGTTCCACAGCAACCTCCATCTAATGTGTTGAAAGAAAATAAATATCCACCAAATATTCCTATTCGTGTTTATATTTCATCTTGTTTATGTCTTGATAGTATCTGATTATACTCAACAAGATCCCCCCCAAAAAATTAAGGCAATAAACTTTGATAAGGCTAGGGATTAAAATTGGGAAAGAACTGGAAAAGAAAGGGTGCAATGATTAACACAAACAGGAACTTAAACAGAGGGACTGATGATATATGAATGGCCTCCTTCTGTGTTGAGATTTTCTATGGTCCAAAAACAATGGAGTTGCCTCCCTGGAGAAATATCACAACTCAGCATCAGTTTATTATAACAACTTGCATTTATATAGCGTCCTTCACACGGGGCAGCGACTCGGAGAGTTTTATAGTACAGTAAATATATTTTGCTCACCACAAGTGGGGCATCCAATACTTTAAGGTAGCGATGGATATTCACAGTAGTTAGAGGCTGTTCATAATAGGATCTCCTGCATGCCTGACTCTTTTCAGCAACCATCTTGCAATGACAAAACCAAAGTCTTGCTGAGAACCTATCGGGATCTTCAAGGCTAAATATCATAAGAAATGTTAAAACATTTCAAATGATCAGGCACAAGGATGGTGTAACAGAAATATAATCTCCAAACTATACAGGGAAGCATCAAATTATTAATACCAGTCTGAAGCTAAAAGGTATATTATGTTAGATATGTTCTTTAAATAGGAAGTTATAATAAAACATTTTCTCTGTAGAATTTTAGGAGTGCAACATACGTTTAACAAAACTATGAACAAAGAATTGCAGTGGCTTTATAAAGGCTGCACTACAATGCAGGTAGTAAAAATTACTTTCCTGGTTTACCCTTAGATTGTAATGCTGTAAATATGAAAAAGTTGAGAGAGAGTGCTGATTCTTTACTACCATTACAATATTAACTACACTTTAGGCTGGCAAGAAAGAGAACGCAATTCAGAACAGCAGTATAAATCTGGTTGATAGATTACACTTAATGTAGCCTTTCGTTTCTTATACGATTTGAATACGTAAATCATCCAGAAAATAAACTGTTGAAAATGTGCTACCCATCAAATCAGCACCACCTGCTGGATTACATAAGCTAATGCTTCTTAGTTTTATTTGTTCAATACCTGACATGATTATATAAAATTGTAATACTTCACATCCAAGCGCTTTCTGATTTGTTAATTAGGTTTGATAGTGTGCTTATCATGATTAAGCAATGTTAGTACTGGAAAATGTTGACTCTCAGCATTCCAAACACCAGCAAAGATGGCATAAGGGTAAATGCAGAGCAAAAGTCCCTCTTCAAGATTACTCAATATAATAATAATAATAATCCTTGCATTTGATATAGCGCTTTTCACGTCAGGAGGACGTCCCAAAGCGCTTCACAGAACACACTGTAAAGTGAATTGACTGTATATTTGTGGGCGAATGCGGCAGCCAATTGCGCACAGCAATGTCCCACAAACAGTCTTAGATTGAAAATGACCAATTTATTATTGTTTTTTTTTATTAGGCGTGTGGAGTAAGGAAACTTGCCCAAGGTTTCGCCCTGCCTGGAATTGAACTCAGGTCTCTCGCTTGCAAAGCGAGTGCTCTAACCACTGAGCTACAGGACTCCACATTATTATTACTATCACAATATTATTACTAAATACATTTTTTTGCATTACTAAATAATTTTTGCATTTAATATAGTACCTTATCAGGTCTTCGAGACATCTCAAAGTGCTTCACAGAATATACTGTCAAGTAAATTGACTGCATATTTTGTGGGTGAAACTTAATATATGTGTAATAGTTCATACTTCACACCAACAAAGACTACAATGACTTAATTTACTGTCTTCTTTAGTTTAATTGAATTTTATGGGTTGAGAAATCCATAGCCCCCAAGTTCACATCGGAAAAGTCCACAGAATGCTGTCAGCAAAGTTTTAATTGCCAGCCTTCTTTTTTGCAGATTTAGCATTTGCGAGCTGCAAATTTTCATGCAAATTACCCAAAAGTTGAAATTAATGCAAATTCCGGGTTGCAAGTATCACAAAAGATACTTGCCCCCCCACACATGCACACAAATGCAAAACTTGCTATAAGCTTGTGCTTGCTCAAAATGTATCATGGAGGGGTCAAGAATCTTTTTGAACCAGTTACAACACCATACTCATGGCATCACCTCAATACCCAAATTACACTTTTTTGTGTTCACTCCATGTGTTCTGCTGTAAATGCTGAGTTTGTATTGAGTGATTATCCCCCATTCGATTGCAAATTGGGTATGCTTACCCCAGGCCTTCCAAAAGGGCTTGCTCTGTGGTCAGTACAAACTGATATTTGGAACCATAAACAAACGCAGTTTCCATTATTGCTCTGTGCTCTAGGATAAATCACAGCAAATTGAGTATAAATATACTTGTAATCACAGCAAATTGAATAAGAAACAGAAATCCAGCCCATCTTGCTGCTCAAATTCATTTTCCGTTTCAAAACCTATTCTGACCACTTTCATATACAGTAATTAAAAATTATAATCGTTGCATTTTATATAGTGTCTGTTACACTGTCAAAGGATCTCAAAGCACTTCACAGGATATATTGTAGAGTGTAATGACTGGCTGCAGCATATGCCTACAAAATGCACAATTTGTATAGTCCCTCAAACAGCCATGAAATGAATCACCAATTTTACCTGGGGGATTGTTAGTCAGGACTGTGAGAAACTCTCTTCTCTTCTCAAACACTGCCAAGGGATAGATTTCCTATCTATACTAAAATGCATTGAAATAAACATGCAAGCTTATTTTAACCAGTAAAATAGAAGTAGTGTCAAGTTATTATTCCAAAGTTTAAAAAAAATCACTTTTGTCCGGTTGCATAAAGTTCTTCACCACATTGAATTGGTATTACTGGTTTCTCTGCCCTGTGAATACCATTAAAGATTCCCATCACATTTCATGTCCACAATACACTCGATGGCTGGGAATCTATAACAGACACAATGGGCTGAATGGCCTTCTTCTGTGCTGTAAATTTCCATGCTCCTATAAAATTCCAACTGGAACTATAATAGGGTGTAACGGTCAGTCAGTGCATCCGCATTCACTGTGCATTAGGGTTATGGAGCCATCAGTTCATTGTCAATATTACTGCACATCTGTGGTTAACTGATGAGCTAAGAAATCAGCTATTTTTTGTGCATGAAAATAAATGGCTGACTTCCAGTGCAATAGGTTGCCGCTGATGGAAGTCGGTAACAAACCGATGACTTCGAAGTTAAGATATTTTTGGCTCTCAAAACACAACTGATGTTTTGAAGCACTGACGTAAGTAAATAAACGTCAGGATCCACACCCCCAACGTCAGTATGATCCACACTGTTTTATACAAACCTGCATTATAACAAAGCATGTTACGTCAGGGTTGCATTGCATTAATTGCATTCACAGATTTAAACAGTGCCCATATTGATTCCTTTCTTTACTAGAGTTGCTTGGCTGTGCTAGCTATGTCTTCTTGGAGCTATCTGAGAGATGATACTTATTTTATTAAATGGGTGAAGGGCTGAGTGAATCTATTAGGATTAAATGCAGTACTCAACCAACTGAACAAGTTAGTCAGTGCCAAGCGTCAAGTATCCATTTATACCACAGAGTAACCCCTTTTAAAAGTAAAGAGTTAAACAAAGTCTACCACAAATTTTGCATGTAGCATCATTTTTGGATGCTCAGCGCATTGAACTAGAAGCTACCAGAGCTGTTTAGACTTAAAGAATCAAGAAATGCAAAATAATAGCAATACCTGGAACTCCTATTGCTCCTACAAATGTAAAGATGACATCACCTTTTCCTTTCATATTATTTTCAATGTCCTGAAGGTCCGCCATTGAAGAGACATATCTTATTTCATTAAACAACAAAATACTAGAATAGAATAAGAGTAAATGTTCAGAACTTTCAGAGTAACTGTACAAGGTTTACAAAAGCACCAAACAATGTTATGATTATTGAAAAAANGGATTCAGGTTCTTGACCATTTTAGTTATTGAAAACAACTGTGGCCTTAATAGCCAATGTTATGCAAGCACACAGCCAAGATGAAACAGATCAAAATTGTCAAATGACTGCTGTCAGTTTAATGTTTATTTACTGCACTATAAACGTTATTAGTCACAATATTAATTTCAATGTCAATTATGTTAATTTTCATTCTTTTTAGCATAATTAAATAGTTCATGTCTGACATGGTGAATTCCAAGTGCAAGCAGTTTATTTACATAATGAACATTATTAGTACATAAGTTTTTTTTTAAATTACATAATTTTTCACCTTCACAATCAAAGAATACTGTTTTCAAAACATTTTCATTGTAGGCTTTTTGTATTGAAGATACATGATGTTTCCAATGTTACACAACAGCATGCTTTAACCTACACAAAAACACCGACAGTCATTTTACCTAAATAGGGATGAAATTCCAGTATATCCAAAGATATTTGTTCATTAAAGGACTAATGTTTACTCATTGTAACAATAAATATGTCTGAAAGAGATTAGACATGTCTAAATGCTGACTTTCTATTTAACGTATAACAGTGCATCATCAGGAATTAAAGACAAGTCTGATGGGCCAAATGATCTCCTTCCGTGCACTGTAAGTTTCTATGTTCTAACCACCAATTCTGTAAATCTAAGGACTCAATTTAAGCTATTTGTTGTTGTTTTCACCTGACATATAAAAACAACTTTTAGATGTTAACACCTGAAAAGTCCAAAACACGTAACATCATAGAATTTTCTGATTCCCATCAGTTTCACTTGCTCCAATTGCACGCCATGGAAAATAAATAAACCCCCGTTTAAAAGCATACTTACAATAATACATTTGCTACAGTTGCATCCACATCAAACAACGTGTCGGTTGCAAAACTCCTAAGCATTATATTTCCCCTTTTCAAAAGAAAGGCAATATGTTCAAATATTGGTTAATAATGTCCATTCTGAATACTATAAACTACAGTATTCTAAACCATAAGCTTTCTTAATATGACACCTAGTCATTAGGGACAGTACCATCCCATTATAAAATTCTCTCCTGCCTTTTAGCAGGTGCCACAAGAGCAGCCATGAACGGTGAAGTCACTGCACATGCATAGGCTGGCCAGCCGGCTCCATCAGCGTACATTATGCATCAATACATGTCATCCCACTTCAAATCCCATTATTGCAATGATGTATTTTGAATTGAGAATTTTAGATAAGAAAATGTTGACTCCACACCCCGATCACTTTATATGTGAACCTTGCAATGTAACAAAGTACTGGAAAAAACATTTTGAAATATCGATACACAAAACAATTGATAGTGATAGATTCATGTACATAACCATGCATAAATAACAAATATGTATTGACATACCGGAAGAGATATGCTTTCTTCTGGACACCTTCATCTTCACAATATTTTGGTATATTTTCAATGGCACAATTAACCTACAAAAAGGTACACATTCAATTTGAATAGAATTTTAATGGAAAAATAACAATAATACAGATTGTAGTGCAGCCTTTTTGGCTACAACAGCATTTTAACAAATCCCATATTTGGTCTCACATCCCATAATTAGTTTTTAATCCCAAAACTTATTTTCTATCTATAATATGGCCCATCCAATTTGAAGCTCATCTCATTAAGGAATTAAAGTATATTTTGTACATACAGTATGTGGCCTCCATTTTAGAATTATTTGGGCTCCAATATATTGAAACACTGCATCACCAAGAGAACTTCATTTATAATTCACTACTTAGCACTCAAATTTCTGTTACTACTTTTTAGCAGGATTCCCTAAAAGGTTGGAAGTACAAAAAAAGGTGGAAGGTTTGTGCATATCACCACTGTTTTTAGTAGCACTTGATAGTATAAAGAGGTAATGTAGTTTACTCACCTGAGCAACAGTGATGCCATATTCGTCAAGCGGTTCTGATGATTGTTCTAGTTGTTCAAGGAAAAGTCGAACTGTTGGGTTGACTGAAACACATAATCAATATAGAATCATAGATAAAGGCATATGGCTTGTCATGCCTACAAATATCAATTAAGCCTTTCAGTTCTGAATAAATAATAGATGAAGTAACTGTGAAATTAATAGTAAAGGCTAAATAATTCTGAGCTAAAAATCAAATTAGAACTAGAATTAGAATCCCCACTGTTATCTCGACACCTTGAATGTACACACATGTGGATAGGCAAAGGCAAGGATAAGGATGGGCTGTAATGGCTCAGCAAACAAACAGTATACATGACTGGAAGAAGCATGACAGAAGAGCCCAATCCTGCCCTTATCCTGAGTTCATACACATACACCTCCAGCAAGTACCACTAGACAATGATTAGTACTTAGAAACATAGCTGATTTTCCACTGTCTAAGCCAGACCTTGAGGCCACTGTATCATCTGGCTGAGGTCAGCTACTCCGAATAAATTTTCTGATCCACTTGGTGAGCCTAAAAAAGATTTTTTTTTTTTTGCAGAGGTTCAATTTGCGCGCTCTTCAAGATGAAAGATACTAGAGTTGGACAATGGAACAATTCTTTATTTATTGAGCTTAATACCAGTATCCTTTCATGCCCTAACACCTCCCTACCTCTCTGACCTGCTTACGTCGCAACCCACTACCCACTGCCTCCGCTGAACTGGCTCCGACCTGCCGCATGTGCCTTGTGCCCTCCATTCCACCATTGGTGGCCTCACTTTCAGCCACTAAGTCACAAACTCTGGAACACTCTTCCTCTATCCATTTGCCTTGCCCGTTCCTTCCCCATCTTCAGATCGTGCCTGAAGATCTTCCTTTTCGACCGTGCCATCAGAGATGAAAAGATAGCAATACCCAATTCAACATTTAAAATCATGCCACAAACAACTGCAGAGTATTCAACCAAAATATAGGCTTCAAAATAGATTCTCAGTTTTATTTTTAATATTGCTTCAAAGATGCAACCCCAATTCTGCTAAATACATACCAGTTCTCCTGAAATAAATTAACGATGTTTTTCCTGATCGTAGAATATTGAAAAAATGTTGATGACTCAGGCTGCGTAATGTCTTCGTACCACCAAAGGCACAAAAATGACAAATATATATCAACATTAAATAAAGGTAGCAACTCCATTGAGCCATTTTAAAAGTTGGATGAAGAAAACAATGATCAGCAATCACTTAAATCATCTGGATGAAATCTTGATCTGCATATTATTTATTTCAACCTGAAAAACAAATTAATGTAAATGAGATTTGACATGTTTCACAAACCTGATTGGGAAACTCACAACATAAGACTACTGCACAAGAACATACATCAAAATAGCACAATTAAGTCAGGTCATGTCATATAACAACTTTTTCCCATATTACTGTCTGCAGCAATAAACATTATTATTTATAATAATGATCTTTGCATAATATAACATTTTAACAAGCAAAAACATCCTAGGAGTGTTTCACAACATTTTCTATAAAGTGTAGTGACTGTATTTATTTGTAGGTGAGGCAGCGATGTAAACATAACCTCCTACAGTTTTATAAATTGTATTCACTCTTCACTATGTGGCCTTTTCTACATTAATAAAAATTAATGTTGATGGGGAAATTGCCTGGTGAACAATTCTCTCTCTAAACGGTGAATGACATCCTTGTGAATAACCCGCTCTGCCTTCCCCCACCTCCGCAATGTCGCCCGTCTCCGAATCTGTCTCACACCGCAGGCGGCCGAAACCCTCCCGCACGCCTTCATTACATCGAGGCTCGACTATGCAAACTCACTGCTTGTCGGCCTCCCCAACCCCTCCCTCCACCGGCTGCGGATCATCCAGAACTCTGCTGCCCGTGTCCTCTCCCGCACCGGGCTCCGCGACCCTATCGCCCCCATCCTCGCCCGACCCCACCGGCTTCCCATCACAGGAGATCCTGATCCTCACCTTCAAAGCCCTCCACGGTCCCGCTCCCCCCGACCTCTCTGACCTGCTAACCCCCTACCACCCTGTTCGCTCCCTCCGCTCAGCGGGCTCCGGCCTGCTTCACGCCCCCCCGCCTCGCTCGCCCCACTATCGGCTGTCGGGCCTTCCGCCGCTCCGCTCCCACCCTCTGGAACTCCATCCCGCAGTCCCTCCCTCTCGCCCCCTCTCCCTCTCGCCCCCCTCCCTCCCTCTCGCCCCCTCCCTCCCTTCAACACCCATCTCAAGACCCTCCTCTTCGACCGTGCATTCGATCTCCCCGCCTCCCTCCCCCCGACCCCCCCAACCCCTGCCCTTAGGTCCGAAGCTGTCTGTCCAGCGCTTTGGGACGTCCTCCCGACGTGAAAGGCGCTTCACACGTCATTGTGTTGTGGTGGTGGTGTACCTCCAGCATTCGCCCGGTCACATTATTTCGATTCTAAGCGGACGGATAAATGTCTGGAAAGTAGTATTGAACTCTCTCTGAATACTCACCGACTCACAGCCACACAAAGACCCCCAAACATTCAAACGCAACCAAAGGCCCCGCAAAACCCCGCTCGGACCCGCAACTCGGACCCGCACGCGCCGCTCGCCGCCCAACGGTCAACGCAGCCCCCGAAGCCCCACCCCCAGTTCGCTCTGATTGGTTGGTTCCAGGTTCCGCTGGGAAGGGGCGGGGTTGGTGGTGGGGGGGCGAGCAACGGAACGTCGGATTGGGCGCGTGACCCGTCAATCAAAGGTCCGGGTCGCCTGGGGCCAACTTCCGTTAACAATCGTTTGCCCCCTCTGTGTGTGCGCATGTGCGGACGGACCCCAACCACTCCCCCCCCCCCCCGCCCCGGCCCGGCGTGAGCAGGTGATTGGCAGCGCCCGGAAGGCCAATGGGAAGCGCGGGAGGCGGGAGGGAGGCGGGGCGGCCGCGGGCTGTTTTCTTTGCCGGAGCCCGAGGAGCTGCACCGACTGAACGGGCGGATGGAGTGAGCGGCGTAGTTAAGGGCCAAAGACTTGAAGCCGCCTTTAATGATTGTCACCGCCGCCGTCGTCAATAACAACAACAACAACAACATCTCGTCGCCCTCCTCCTTTTTTTTTAGTGTGTGTGTGTGTGTGTGAACATGTCCGCGGAAAGCCGAGCGGCTCAGCTCAGCGGCGCCCCCTCAGCCACAGCCGCCCCGGAGCGGCCGATCCGCGCCGCGGTGGCCCCCTCGGTGGAGCTGGGCTTGACGGCGGTCTACACGGCTCTCTACTCGCTGCTCTTCCTCTCCGTGTACCTGCAGCTCTGGCTGGTCTTGCACTACAGGCACAAGCGCCTCAGTTACCAGACGGTGTTTTTATTCCTGTGCCTGCTCTGGGCGGGCCTGAGGACTACCCTCTTCTCCTTCTACTTCAAAAATTGCGTCCAGGCCAATCGGCTGGAGCCCGTGCCTTACTGGCTGCTGTATTGTTCCCCTGTGTGTTTGCAGTTCTTCACGCTGTGTCTGCTGAACCTTTATTTTGCACAGGTAAGCTTTTGCATTTTATATATATATGTGTGTGTGTATGTATATTTTTTTTTGGGGGGTGGTCGATAAAGGACCAATCCTTTGTGATGCAAATGTTCGGCGTGTGCCTTTAAATGCATTGTTTATTTTATTTGTTACAGAGGTCCTGCAGCAAAACGCAGGAGGGAACTGTTGATCTACCAAAGAACCGTCTTTGTCCTTATTTATTTTATTGTGTGGTGGGTGGGGGGGGTAATAAATCCAGCAATGCGTGTCGCCAATCTTGGCGGTTGGGGTTCCAGCTCGAACTTGCAACCTTTTTTGACTTTTGGAGGGATTGCATTTGCGGGAGTTCCCGCTGAGGCGATGCGGTTTGTTGCTGAAATCAGACGCTGCTTTTTCTCTCTCTCTCTCTCTCTCTGTGTGTGTGTGTGTGTGTGTCTGTATCTGTGAGCCTTACGTGCGTGTCTTTTGCAAGAAGTCGCTCGTTCAGTGTTAGGCGAACGGGCGAGTGAGTGAGTGAGTAAGTAAGTAAGTAGTGGTTGGGATTTTTTGGGCATCTCACCGAGAGTGCGATTTGCAGGTTGGTCTCGTATTTTTGTGCAGCACTCTGTTTGCATCTGATATAAAGGTGGGTTATAATGTCATCCTAAGTAATTACTCCCCCCCCCCCCCCCCCACATGAACAGCCAAAAGATGTTCTTCCTCTGGTCGTGGCTACTGAAAGCCCATGGATGGAATTGCTGCTCAGCAGTCTTGACACATTGGCCAACAGTTGCCCCCTTTTTTGGGGGGGGATAAACAAGTCCAATTACAGCAGGCAATTAACACACCTGTGTTACAGTTAACACGGAGAAAAAAAGAGCAATTGTTCAAACTTTTTTTTTGAACCCCAAAACCCGTAGAAATATTTTCTTCTTTCTTTTTAAAAAAATGTTTTTTTTGCAGACACCACATTTGTAGGTCAGCCAATTAGACTGAAGTGAAAGAAGAAGCATCAAATCGTCATGAATGCAGAGATTATTCCTACCTGTAGGTGTCTAGAATTATTTTAGCGTATGACACGAATACTGTATGTACCCAACACAAAGAAAGACCTTCCATACTGTTGCATTCGGCCAATCTAAAAGTAGCAATGGTGAACTGGTTGCAAATTAGCATTTTTTAAAAAAATATATATATATATTTTATTATTCTTGTAATCGAGATCCAAAGTAGAGAATAGTGATTGGTATTTAACAGGCTTTGTATTTGCAAGTAAGTGACAACAGACCAAGAGCTAATGGATGCAGCTGTTGTAGTGACATGGTCTTCCATATGAATGTAATTCTAAACATTCAACTGATGTTAGCCATATAGATCAAAGAGATCCATAGACCCCTGTCCATGTACTTGCTTATACCAGAATTTATTCGAGCCAGGGGCAAGTTTGCTCAGATCTTTTAAGGCTTTGTTGGAAGATTAAAGGAACTCCTTGAGTTAGGAATGAACGAACCTATCTAAAGCAGGTTCTCTGGATAAACAAACACTTTCTGAAACAGCCTTTTAGTTTGTTTAGATTTTAACCAGTACTGTTATTTTTGAATTATAATTTCAGGACAATAAATTTGTAATATTAACACTGATGCACAATGTGCAATTTCAATTCTTGTTGCTTTGTATCTGCTTGTCCTGGATTACATGTTGACATATCTATAAAAAAATTAAAGAGATTCTGCCTGAACTCTTACTCACAAATAATGAGAAAAGGTAGGATTCCTTTCTTTTTTAAAAAAAAACCTTATTTGTAGAGTATTTTTCAATTTTGGTAAGAATTCTTTTAGTCATGAATATACAGGAAGCTGGATGATGTATTTTTTTGCCATGAATTCATTCAGGCAAGTTTAACTAGGATCGTCTTTAAGGGAAGAAAAATAGAAGAATTGTCAATCATCGATGAAAGTGTAGCTTGAGGCAGACAGTTTCTTTAGAAATTGTAGGTGTTGCATGATTGGAGATGTTTACTGTGCTTCATATCTACTATGTTACCTTATCCCAATCTACATTGTATTTCAGCTGCTGCAAATTGACTCCAATGTCTACATATTTTTCAGCATGTTGTGCATATAGTTGGAGGAAAGTTGAATGTTTTTATTCTCATTCCAGTTCCTGGTGGATGTGCATGCATTATATAAAACTATCTAACTTTGTACTAAAATGGAGCCTTTACGCCAAGGTCACAAAAGATAACTGTTGTGTGGGGAAACCCTTGCTGCACCCGCTTCAGGAGGAGTACCTCTTTGGAATAGATTGATGGCTTTTTTTTACTGCCCTCTGGAAAGTAGAGGGCTTCATATTTCTCAAACAGTGTGGGTTTGAAATAATACTGGTTCAGATTCTCAGTGGCTTGACCCAATTTTCAGTTTGACAGCACTCTTTAGGAAAAGAAACTGGCTTTGCTTTATTGGTTCATGATTGTAATGCTTTGAGAGCTATTTCGTACACGAAATTGGCCTTTCATCTCCCAAATTTTGACGTTGAGCACCTTTGGATTTTGGTTTGTGTGTTTGAGGACAAGGAAGGGAAAGGAATTTGCAGCTATCGCAGGTTAACTTTGCATAATTTTAACTAGCCTCTATGAACAATAGCCTTCAGTACTACCTTGCAACCACCAACATCTTGATGATGAAACTGGATGCATTTAGTGAGCTATTAACCTGTGTTAAACAAAATTAAGATAAGCTTTGGCTTTAACCAGCATATGCTGTGTATCCAACAGAGGTCAATAATGACTTTTATCCTCGCCAATTTTCTGACATGAAATCACCATTTGAGTTTTATTGGCCTTCAGGAATAATAGATGTTAACACTTATGATAAATCACAGGATTCCTCATAGTCTGATCTACTCGCAAGGAAAATGGCAATTGCTGATTCTTGTAAGGCAGTATATCTCCTGTCATGCAGCATGTTTGTAAGTTAGTGTTTTTTCAGTCTGATAAAGTATGGCCTTAAGCTTGTGAGTATTTAAACCTTTACAGTGTTGTCTTTGGGGACCATATAAATATGTGATGTTGCAAGAAAGGACCGTTGAAGTAGTACAGATTTATTAGCAAGTAAGCAATAGTGCTTTTTTAGTCTTTGACCCTGGTAAAACAAATATCCTTTGTTGTATGTGATGTATGGAGTGGGGGAGCTGTTTAATGCTGTCCTTCTCCCATAGCTCTTATGGTTGGTTGCCTTTCCGTAGATATTGCTGGCTCACAGGAGGTACCCGAGTAGATCTTGTGCAAAACTATTGTTTTCAAATTTTGAATGACTCTTGCACAAAATTCTGTTTTTGTGTGGCTTTCTCAATGTCCTTTGTCATTTGATTACTACATTGGATGAATTGCATCACTTTTTGTCAATAGCCATTAATATTTTCATGTCCTCGAGAATGTAGTTCACCAATGAAATAAACAACTACTATCTACAGTAAATCCTAAGAAGCATTTTGGCAATGTGATAAAGAGCTATGTAAAATTCAAGTATAAATCTAACTTAAATGGAGTTGATGCCTTGAAATGATAACAGAAAGTAAATTATTGCTTGAATTGTCTAACAAAACTCTCTAAAGTATTCAAGAGAATTGTAGAATGTTCTGCCTTAAAATGAATTATTACGTTTCTATTATTAAATGTACTCTAACATTGATCTGTACGACAGTGTTTGATTCACTACATTTATTATTGAATTCAATCTACTACATCGGTCTGTACCATAATGTTTGTGATTTTTGTAGGTTATCTTTAAGGCCAAAGCTAAATATTCTCCAGAGCTCAACAAATATAAGTAAGTTCCACTAGTCACTTTTACTGTAGTCTTTTGAACATCTATTGTGTAATATTTAGTGATATTTTTGTTTACAATTTCAAGGGACATTTTGCTACATTCTGAGATTAGCTCAGATGTCTGTTGAAATAAACATGGTCGCAGCTGTTGCTAAATATACACCCCAAATGATTGGTGATTGTTTCCTCTTTGTGTTGAGAAATCTACCAATACTTAACAAGTCAGTGGCTGCCAAAAGAAAAGAACGCTGTATTCATTGCAGAATCTTGTGACTTTTGTTTATAAATTAAGCGCCTCCTAAAAACAGATTCGCTATGAAGAAACTGCTTGATAGTAAAATTATAATGTATTTTATTGCATTTATTTTATTTTATGATTGGAGTTAGCATTCTCTTAATCACTTTCCCTTCAAATGTTTTCAGGATTCCATTAAGGCTGGCATTCTTGTTTGCTAGTATTCTCTTTCTGGTGGTGAACTTTACGTGTGCAATGCTAGTCCAGGGAGATGTGCCAGAGAGCCAGTTAAAGTGGACTGTGTTTGCCCGAGTGCTTATCAACGACAGCCTCTTTGTGCTTTGTGCCATTTCATTAGCTGTATGCATCTTCAAAATTGCAAAAATGTCATCAGCAAACGTGTACCTCGAATCAAAGGTAAAAGATCAAATGTTCACCCTCCAACTACAAAATGGTGTGTTTATTATTTAAGAATTCTTATATAGGATGAAATGTTCAGCAAAAAAAANCTAACTTACTGTCCTGTAGCATCTTGCTAGCTGGTTAACTTGTCAATGGCCTTGTCATTTTTAAAAGGAAATGGCTAAAAAAAACACATTACATCTTTATACAACAGTGTATAAAGAAGTAATGTGCTTTTTATTTGGGTTAATTCTGTTATGCTTTCTTTATTGCTTCTTAAGCACTGTTCACAATTAAGTAAATGGGATACAACATGTAGAGTTAAATGACCAAAAGAGTAAAATCCTTTTTGATATTATGGACTTTTAACTAATTCTAGCATAATAGCTTGAGCTATTTTGTTATCTCATTCAGAGCACATTGTGTTATCCATCACTGCATACTTTTTTTGTGTCCCATGCTATTGTCCTCTGTTTTGCCTGCCTCTTAGTATTAAGCATACATCTGTATTGTTTTAACATTAGAAAAGAGAAATCTCACTGCTTTGGTTAAATATATTGTTTTAGCTTTTTATCACAAAAGGTGATTTCTGCAAATGCCTGGCCTCAAAAGTGTTGGGAATTTCAGAAAGCAGTTCTTTGTTAAAGGGTGCTTTCTACCTCACCGTTGATGGACAACTTTAAGTTTATTTTTAAACAAATTGGCAAAGGTGATTAATCTTTTTTGTGGGCTGCACAACTGTCATTTGTATTAATGTCTGTATTAATGTCATTTGCAGTTTGTACTTGCAAGAAGATTTTGAAGTAAGATTTCTTTTGGTTTTAACATTTGTTTCATGTTGAATGAATTCTCACTTATTTAATAGAAAAGATGCATATTTTGAAAGGCGAATATTTTAAACGTTGAAAATGTGCCTAAATGTTTGTGCTGATCAGAGTATGAGTTGATGGTGATGAAGGTCAGATCACTTTTTTTTCTCTCTCTGATTTACAAGCTTAGTAATGCTTTGAGAAATCCATTAATCTGCTGCATTAAATGTGTTAAATTGCATACAAAGAGTGTAACAATATTTTTTTCTCTTTCAGGGGACATCAGTATGTCAGGCAACACTTGTAGGGGCTGCAGTGATCCTGTTTTATATATCCAGGGCTTCTTATAATCTGGTTGTTGTCTTCATGGCTCCAGAAGATAGGCCTAGTGCATTCAATTACGGCTGGTACAACGTGTCCGATCAGGTAGGTTTATCAAATGACACTTTTTTTAAACATTTATCAAATTATGGCTAATAGGTATTTCTGTTGCCAGTAGAAAAAAACACATAAATTTAAGGAGCTGGATCTGCAATTGTGTACTGTATTTGTTTAACCAATTTCATTAGGTAGTAGTGGTTCACTTATCAGTTGGCAAATGCAGGAGCTGGTGTTTCAATCACTAGTACTAACAAGATAGGAGCTCCTGAATTGGGGTTGGATAAATCAGATCAGGGTGTGTGTTTTTTTTCTTCTTCTCAATAATGTACTGCCCAGGCCTGTATTTGTAAAGCGTGTGGTGAAAATTACAATTTTTAAGTTTCAATGAAGAAATTCCATTGGAATGTGCTACTTGACTTATAATAATAATAATAATTATCCTGCAAAGCGCTTTGAGTCTTAATGAAATGATAAAGCGCTGTATCAAAAGCAAGTATAAGTACTATTATGATTATTACTATTATTAAACCAGCATCAGTCTAATCAGTCTAACCTCGGCAAACATCCCTGCTCCAAAAGTAATCTGACCAAATTGAGTACTATTATTATTACTTAACTTATGTACTATTATAGTAGTCAACACTGTCTATTAGTCTTTGAGTCAATGCTTTAATAGTTCTCTATCTGTTTAAAAACAAATGTTTTTTTAAAAAAAACCTTGAATATAGTATATTAAATTATATTAACTTCACCTTTGCAGGCTGATGTTGAGAAAATCAGTGGTCGAGCTTATGTGGTATTTGGAACAATTCTTTTCCTGTGGGAGTTATTGCCGACGAGCTTGGTGGTGTTTTTTTNCCGGGTGCAGAGACCAAATCAAAATCTGGTATGAAATTGGCATGAAAGTTTATTTTTAACATTGTTCCTGTTAGTTGGTCAGGGCCTTGGGACGTCCTCCTGACGTGAAAGGCGCTCTATAAATGGAATCTTGTTGTTGATGTAGATGTTCTAGTGGAATTGTATTACTAACCTACCTATCCACCTCAAATGTAGATGTCTTTTATAAAACAATAAGTACATTTATAAGAAGCCTTTTTACAGTACAATATCTCGAAGTTTCACTTTCATTACTCCTTAAGTTCATGGAATTGTACAATTTCTCGTACAGGTTGTTTAGCTATGGTACCCACATCGTAACGAAAAACTGGTCTACCCACACAGGTTTTTCCAGCAAGATTACTGGATAGGAAGTACGAGTGAGAATTCCTAAATTTACTGCTGCTATTCTAGTCTTCTAAATTCGTGAAAGCCGAGAGCACTCTGCTCCCACTGAGGGCAGTTGAGTTGCAATACCAAGACCAGGTTGAGATTCAGACTTACAATCCTCTGATTTTTTTGCACAGCTAGAGCTACCAGTTTACCTGGAGTGTAACCTTGTTCATTTATGTTGAATGTGTAGCATAACTTAAAAATTCAAACTAGGATTATAACTTAGTACTCATTTTGTACATTTTGCAGATACTTTATTCAATGGTGTTGTTCTGTTCTCATTATTTATGCTCGACACTACAGTATAACATCATATGTTTTGGGTTGCGATGGATGGTGATTAATCTGCCTAGAGCCCTGATATTTCAGGATGCCATTACTAAAATAAATAACTGTCAGGCTTCTTTTCACAAAGCAAATAACCTGTAAAACTGCTGCGTTCTGTAATTCAACCAAATAATATTTACCTTTCATAAAAGTATGCAACCTGATCTGTTAATTTGCTCAATAATCATTTTCTCAAACAATTCAGCTCTGATAGCTTTTGAGGTTTATATTTTTATGTACAATGTTTTTTTTATTTGATTCAGCTGAGTCCTCAGATGACCTGAGTAATGGAGTCCATTTCAGATGAGGTTACGCCACAGATGGGTACACAATCTGACAATAATGAAACGCGCAGAATGTTACTATTTTCCACAATTGCAAAATACCATCTGACCGAATAGCAGTTGCATTGACTGAACAGTATAATCTGATGTGTGTGCTATCATTAAGTTTGTCTTGATTGTGAGTCACACTGACTTTCTGTTTAATATGCAAAGAATTCCTGAAGAAGACATCTAAGGAGACAATTATTTTTATCTAATGTGCCTCAGATCTAGTATTCTTGGAAAGGCATCAGAAGGTGCCTCTTTGCACCCCCCACCCCATATGATGGTTTTTAAAGTGGTAGGAGAACATTTCAGATTTAGAGGTAACTTGTTCGGGAAGCAGGTAAACAGCTTGGCTGCGATGTTTGTAAGCCTGTTCATTTAATTAAATGCAAATCCCCATTTCAAAGGTTCTTTCAAAAGATTCTGCTCCTCCTACCCAGAGAAGTAAAAGCAAATCTAAATGCCCATTTGTTTAGCACGCAACAGGTTATCCATGAACTCTGTCTGGTTCAATGTTACTACCACAACAACGTGACCCCTTGGAGAGGCTCTGAGTGAAGCACACAACTTGGTTTGAGCTCCTTCAGTACTGTGAAGATTCAGTGCAGCTTAATCATGTAGTTTGATTGTAACTACAGAATATTCTTAAACCTTTGCAGCACCCTTGAGTGGAGTAAACACTCAGACCCTGCCCTGCATGAAAGGTGCTATCTGAATGCAAGTCATTGTTGAATAATTTGCCTATATGAACCAGAAGGGGCACGTTTGAATATACCAGATTGTATCTTTTGATTGTAATGTTTAGTCTTTGGTAAGAAGAAAAATGAAAGTATAAGTCAAAGGGAAACTTCTGCTCAGATAGCCAATCATGCAAGACTGAATTCTGCCTCAAAACTAACAAAAAATGAAGTTTTTTTTAAAAAAATTTATGACTTTATCTTTACTTTATTTTCTAGGGATCAGGTGGAATGATCAACAGTCACAGTTTCAGTTCTCGGGCTTACTTTTTTGATAATCCGAGACGATACGATAGTGATGACGATTTGACTAGAAGCATTGGTTCTAGAGGAGAAAGGGGAAGGTAAGTGAAGCCCTTCTCTAGAAGTGGCAATCTCTACATTATGAAAACTGAACCATTTGAGATGAATAGTAATAACCTCTTCAATAGTATCAGAAGCTCTACTCACTATGGAAGCAATTTTAATTACCAGTAAAACATTTACAGTTAACATTGTTCTTGCTTTCACTGCATCTATGATGATCAAAACAAACTAAAATCATGTAGCTCTTTACCTCCATCTTTAATCACACTACCTCACACAGTTGCCACCTCATGCATGTGCTATTGCAATCCCACCCTGCATTCCCTGACCCCACCTTTACAGATTGAGATCTAGAGCTAAATTCTTTGTTCGGCTGCTGTACTTGATGTTGTATTGTCTAATTCGTCTGGTCATGGCATTAATGGCTGCCTGTGAAAGCTTGAGACTGGGAATTGGATAGCATGAATAGCTCTTTAACACCTAATTTGCAAAGCAATTAGGAGCAACAGAAAAAGATCTGAAGGTAAGGGTCCTATAAAAGGCTCCTTCACACCTTGATTGAGGAAATTTATCAGGAAGCCACTTCAACGCTGCATTCCATCAGAGTATTCTTCAACAGACAACCTTAATAGAATAATTAATCCAACACACCAAGCTAAGTGTGGTCTTGGAAGATTGGATATGAGTTGGAAAAACCTAATAGATTTGTTTAGGGATTGACACTTTTCCATTTTGAGTGTGGCCTTGCTCCCAACCAAAGTGCTTCTTAAAGAAATTTATTGTAACGATCAGAGCAAAGATCTTTGTAATCTGGTATCTGATTCCATATATCCTGATTGGATTGTTCTTGGGTCTCATCCTAACTGCCTAATTCTCAATTTTGTGCCTGTAACCCATTGTTCCTGCTTTACGCCCAGGACTATCCTGAGGAGAACTTATTTACTGAATGGACAGTATTAGGGGATTTCAAGTCATACTAGCTGAGTCAAGTCATATTAGCTAACTGCTTCCTCTCCAAGCAGTTACTAAGAATGTTGCATTGTAAGATTTCTGTTGCCTCTTAAGGTGTAAGTAGTAAGGCTTGGGTTTCCACAAGACTTCCCCCACCCCCGGTGAATTCCTCATCTCAAACTGACTGTGTGGGAAAGGGCCTAGTAGAAGCTAGGTGCTTCTCCACACATGCCCACAATATAGATTGTTTGTGGTGAATAAAAGAGGGTACAAAATATTTTTAGCTGCAGTTAATTTTTTTCCTTTGTACAAGTCTAAAAATCCCCCCTTTTTTTCCTACTGTTTTTAAGCATCCTATCAACAACGCCACAGGGCACTGGTTGGTATGGGACCATTCATAGGAATAACAGTTACAGCGTGGTCCCTCACTTACTGAATGGACCTCCAGCAGCTACAGCACCACTTCTCTTCGCTTATGGTAACATCCAAACCAATCACCACCATAACTATTATTCAACACCACAAAACTATTACTCAACACCACAGAACTGAATGGAATCTGCAGTTCTGTGGCAGTGTTTACATGGCGGATTGTGTGGGCTAACCTCTCGGCACATTACAAACAAATGATTGAAAGCATTCCAATTGCTGACGTGCAATTCTGAAAGAAAAAGCTGTCAATGAAGTAACCTTAAGAAAGCAGCATCAATGATTATACATCAAAGCTTACTGAACTCCTGTAGCATCGTGGCTTGCTTTGATTGTAGTAAGTTGGGCTGCATAATTGCACTTTTACCTGCACTTGCAATCTGAACAAAAGTATGGAAATGCGCTATACCAAGACCAATATTCAGAAATATATCGCAGGTTTTTAGAATTGATATGGACAGGGCAGAGAAGCTATTTTCTTAGTGACTTGACCGTTGTAAAGTTTGTGCTTTAAATGTATTTCAATGTATGGTTTATGTAAGAGTTCATGTCCAAATTGCCATTGTTAAAACAAAAATACAGTGGCTGTTTAAATACATTAATGCTGTGATGCATGGATTTCAAATGTATTCCTATAGTATTGCATTTAAACAATCTGTACATGGGTATTGTACTTTTTTTGGTCATGGGAGTAGTATTAACAATTTAGTTGTATTTCATTTAAATACAAATTTATTGTACTGGATTTAAGTCTAACATAGCATTTGGCTTCAAAAGAGGCTATATACAGTGCATTGGAATAGAATGCATGATGCTGTGTTTAACCATTTACCACTTTTAAAACCGTATACATATCTAGGTTTCAAGTTATGCTGGTAGACTAATATGAAAACTAACATCTTTAAATATATTGTCACATAACACTTCTGTAATTGCAAAACTGTCAGCATCACATTAAGATCCTATTTTGATGTAGCACAATAGTAGAATTGCATGTTGCTAATGGGAGATTTAAAAAATATATCTGAGGTTCTTTGTTCTTGAGGGCTGGTTTCTTCAAACAAGGATGAAACGGTTATTGGATTTTATGTTTGTGGTGTGATTATATTTTCTAACAAAAGGTGATACTGAACATATCTGATATAAAAATGTGTGCTAAAATATTTTGTACACTTACTGCATTCCCTTTAAAAAAAGTGATTATATACACTACACAATTGTTGCAGGACACAGATTAAAATGACCTCTAACATGAACATGTGCAAACAGGTGTACAAACCAACTGCACTTGCTGTTATTTTTTACTTTTTAGAATGTGTTAATGAAAGTGGTGCCGGTCTATAATCCAGCAAATGAATGTGAACTCAGCTTGTTTTGGTCTGAGGCTACTCAACTGTTTGACATTCTTGCATTTCTGATCGAAGTGGAATGCACTAAATCAAATGTGTGACTGAACCTTAATGAAATAGATGTGCTTCAGTAACAACAATTATCTAGTGAATACTTAATCAGCACTTCATATTAAATCAGATATCGGCCAGGTTTCAAACATAGCATTAATTTCTGGTGCACTTTATTCTGGAAGTGTCGCTTAAGAGAATTTTCCATCAATTAAGGCCTGGTTTCAATAGGTTAAATGATTTCCTGGTCAGGTAAGAGTGCTAGGTTGCCTGATAAAAGTTGTCTCAGATTTAAAGAATTAAATGTATTTCATTAGAAATTCTTCTTCTGAGTTGGAGCTGTAAATGATGCATTCAAATTGCCAAGGATGCTGCATCGAGTCCCACCTACTCAATGCATCATGAATATCCCCTAGGAGTTTATTTTGTGGGTGTTTAGAAATGTTAACTTTTTTTTAAAAGAAAGTTAATTCCAAGTAGATGCAAAAATGCAATTACTTAATCATTAACTTATTAACTTTCCCCTTAAAATGTTTTAACACTGCTCGGTGAAGTGATACCACAGCAAGAATCCTGAAGTCTAGTTTTTTTTTCCAGGGCGGGGGGAAAAAAAATCATTACTAACCTTTTGAGCCCTATTATAATTATTGATGCTTAATAATTTAGCATCTGTGTAAACTGCAAAAGTTTAACTTTTTCCTGTAAACTTGTATTTTTACCTCTGTTAAGATTAAATCTACTCGGTACAGTTCTGAATAGTGTTTAAATTTGTGCCCTGCAGTATCGTGTAGATAGTTTTGAACTTGCACTTTTATTTCGGAGAATGTGTATGTGTGTAGTAGCCATTCGATTACATGAATGTGTAGTGAAATATGAGCTTTCTTTCCCCACAAAAACAGTACTTGTTAAACTCTGGTGTAGAGCAGCTTAAAAGACTTAAATTGTGCCTGTTGCTAATAGTTCAACAGTTAATGCTCTCATGAGCATGGACATTTTATAGTGGCTGTTGCTGATATATAGCATTCATTTACATCTTGCAAAAGTACAAATCTTCATGCAATAATAAATAAACCTGACATTCTGAGACATTTTACAATCTGCATGGACAAAAAAATACACTTATATATAAATGTTTTCTCTTCAGAAATCTTGGTCCCATGTACTTATGCTGGAATGTAAAACTAAACTTAAATTTGATTCACAGTACAAAACTCAAATTCTAAACTTTTAATTTGACCTACAAAAAGGAATAAAACTGAGCTGTTTATTTCACAGATTCGTTGGAGTATCTGTGCCAAAAGTACATTTAGTAATCCAATGTTAATGGCTGTTAATTATGAATACTGTACCATTTTATTGAATTGGATCTAATTTCTAGTTGTTTTTGCATTGTTTTGCTTGGTCACAAGTTGACTTGGTGCTTAATGTACCCAAAGCTCATTTTAATTGTGTCTTTCATCCAGTCCATGAGTGAATTGTCTAGCTGACAGTTTATCTGAAGATCTAAAGCTTGTCGATTGGTGTATGGAAGTATCTGAAAACCAGGATCTGACCAGCAAGATAAACCTTGCCTATGCTATTGGTTTACTATGTGTAGCAAGTGATTGATGTATCTCCACTTTAATAATTGTGTTTTTTGTTGTCATGTTGATCTGAGCCTTCAATTTCTCTGCTTTAAAATGTGCAATTTGTTTTTGTCTAACTAGAGATTCAAAGGTAAACTTCTGCAAACTAACCAAACTTTTAATGTGTTTTTATTGCCATAATTAACATCTAGACAGAAACTTAATAAATGAATGCTTGAGCAGAGAAATATTCCTTTCTTTAAAAACTCTCAATTCTTTTCTTCACAAAAAATTCTTGGAATTTTTCAATATTAAATGTTAAGGCTTTCATGTCATCTTCAAACCTACATACTTAGTAAGTGAGAATGTTTAAGGATATGTGTGTTGTTGGTGCCATTGGATTATTCGTAAAAACAATTAAAAAAAAATTACCATTTGTATTTGTACTGTTGACCATAAAGCTGTTTATTTTACTGTGGCCAATGAATGTAATGGACTACTTATGTAACTCACAAAGTTGTAACACAAGCACTACCATGTTTTGAATAAAAATGTTTTATGGCATTCTTTTCAAAGCTAACGTTTTTCAGATTCGTTTTTGAATTTCAATTTCATTGAAAAGCTCTACAGTTTTGCAAAATACAGAATCTTGCATATTCTATTCTGTACTGACAGCTCAAGGCAATAAAGCTCTGGCAGCAAAATGATCATCCAATCTGAGATGGTGTGTGTAATGCAGAATATTCATTCACTACATAGCCTGGCAGCTGTTATCAAAGAATCTAGTTAATGCATTAATCTAAAATCTGCCTCCAAGCTTGTTTGTTTATTTGGCATTTCCAGTAAATCAATAGTTGTAATGGACTAACTTATATATACTTTGAAATGAACAGGTCACATGTACCAGTAACACTTTGGGCCAAATGCGAGAAGCTCACACTGAGTAAAATGTTGGTGTAATGGCACAACTCACTTACATTTTGTGGTAAGGAAAGGTAGTGTCTAGTTGCTTCATCAATGTTGAGGTGGTAGATGCATTCCCTCTTCTGCTTGGTAAGGAAATATTCACTCAATTCATAGAATCTTACCATGTTTGTAATACATGATTGCATTTGTGTGGTTCCAGCATCTACTCTGGAGTATTTATCCTATTCCTCCACTCTTCACATACCCATTAATAAAACTTGCATATCTTGATACTAGAAGAAACGGTTGTATCTTTCTATTTCTAGGCACTTGGTTGATAATTTATAACTAAACCTCCCCATATTGTTAAGTAGTTTATTCTAAAATCAGGTTTTTTGAACAGTATATGTCATCATTCAAAACAGGACTTACAAAAGTAGATGTTTCTTTAAAAAAAAACTTGGATTTGTATAAGTACACATTGTGATCAGTAAATACAAAGGTATACAGTGTGGTTTTCCAATCCAAATGAATGGCATAGTGACTTACAATTTTGCTTGCCTCCTAGGTTTAAGATACGTTTCTTAAATTTAGAGAAAATAGGCTATAGTTTATTTGCTAAAATCAACTTGATAGACCATTGCAGCCAATTGAACATTTTTTCCCCCCAAAAGTAAAATGGCTTTGACAGGCTCTGACTGATTTTCTGGTGTAAAAACAAACGTTCAAAAAGTAAACATTTTTTTTAAAAAGGAAAAATACTTTTTGGAAACTATCCTAAAGATGTAACTTTCAATCAGTAGTAGTTCACTAATCATATAAACTTAGTTAAATAAATTACGGTAACTTAATTTTTTATTTGCAGTAGAAATTCAAACCAAAAAACTGAACTGTAATTCTTAAATTTCCAGATCTCACAGATCATCTGGCAAAATCAGTTTCTTCCTCTGAACAATATGCAAGCAGTTAGCCTATTGCTGCTGCTCTGAAATATAACACAACTCTCAATTGTAGATCCCAGTTTCTTGACAGTAATTTGCTTTGTCATATTTCACAAAAGTCACTTGATTTCTGAGACTGATGATTTTGTCCCATCAGTATAAATTATTCAGTAGTTCCCTGAAATTTTGAAGCTCTCGGATACTATTAGAAATCCTGGAAAGGAAAAAGAAATGATCGTGGGTATGTTTCTGAGATGATATCATCTTGATAGTCTACATGTTCTGGTTAGTCATTGAAGTCAATACAAATGAACATTAATCACCGACACCACGGCAGACATCACCATTGGCACACGATAATCTTATTTGGATTTGTAAAATTATGGATAACATGAATCTGCTACAAGCTCAAAATCAAAGCTAGATTTTGCCACATTTATGAATTTTAAAGGGCCCCAAATGCACTAAGTTGCTCAGCACTGGATATAAAATCAAGGTATGGGAGAATTACTGGCAGTATGCTATTACTGGATCTCAGTCAAGTTAAGACTTTACCACAAGAGTGCCCTGTGGTAAGGGAAAACATTAGTAGGGCCTGCGCCTGATTCATGATCTGACAGCCCCTGCTGATGTCCACATATGTGGTTGCTGGGTAGATGCTGCGAAAGGATAGAATTGGGTTTCGCTGTGATGTTTATTCCAAGTTAAAAATAACCTGATACTTATGATCAAAGCTCAAATATGAATAATGTATATTTTTGTTGTGTAACTTGCATTTAAAAACAGGTAATGTGGACAAACAGTCGCCAATGAAATTAACCACACAGTAGTTGTGAAAAATCTGACCTTCCAAAAGCGTTAAGAAGTGCAACTATTTCTTGCCGAGTTAGTTGAAATCTTTGCGATGGTCCAGAGTCTGGTAATTTGTTTATCTGCTTCTCAGAGAACAGGATCCTCAGAGCGGTACCCAATCCCTGGGTCTGTAAGAGTTGCACAGCATCAACTAACAACAGCTCAGCAACAACAGCAAACAATATTTTTTTTGTTATTGTTCATTTTAAACGCACCTGAAGTTTTCCCCACAGTCTACACTTAAAGCAACCGACACAATCCATTATTCTTGAAATGTTTTTGAAATGTAGCCGAAATTCTTCCTGTAAAAAGACAAAAACTTGCAGATTATTTTTCTTAGTCATTTCAGTAAAGTTAATGTCAACATTTTTGTCACTTTTTAAAAAAAATAAGTTCTCTCCCCACTCCCACACTTAAATATCTAGCAGAACAAACTCAAAATGAAGCAAAGCTCTTGGCTGTTCTTATTAAGGTATTATTTGATGCATTAAAAAGTGCTAACAGTTTTCTGCACAGACTTGGGATGCGTGTAAGTATGTAATAAATGTTTATGTAGAATTGAACCCAGGATTTTCAATTTAAAACAGGAGACTGATGAATGTTAAAGTGGTCAGGGTCTTAATTTCTGCATCATTGTCTGTGCAGCAGGAGGCAGTCTTATTAATGAATGACTTTCACTTCCCGAGATCTACGAAATGTAAAGAACAATATCAATCAACCGCCACCTTGAGTGTTTCAGCTTCCTTTTTTTCCCCAGCAAACAAGGAACTCTCATCGAAGTGTGAGGGAAATGATCTGGAATTAGAACATATTGTTAACACTTATCAATCATAAAAATCTACCAACAAGCTTATTTTACACCAAACTACACCTAATCGAATCTCTTTATTAGCCTCTTTATTAGAAGGCTAGATTTTACCAAACTATTACATACTTTGCCAAATGGAGGATTTCCAGTAAAAGCTTTTTATTTTCTGTATCCAGTGCTTTGTTGCCGGTATAAAGTTGGATGCTGGAACGTTCAAAAAAGGGCAGCACCTTAGATAAAGCCCTCAGTTCGATCAAGTACAAAAAATAAAGGTTCTTGAGTCTGCGTGGCCCTTCTCCTTTGGTCATTTCTCCATCAAACCGCAGCTGAAATTCTGTGGCATTGTGCCCCCATTTTCTTTCATACCAAGTGTCTGCAAAGAAGTTTATTGCAGATAAGGTTAGAATTGAGAAGGGTGCGTAACGATTTACGTAGTTCATTGGTATAAATTGCAGTGAAATCTATTCCTGATGGAGTATTACATAAATTCATTGCAAGAATTTATTTTCGCAATCGGCATTTGCATCATTGTGCAAAGCTGAAGTCTGTAAATCTGGCTGACCCAGGGAGATGTCAACTCCCTGGAAATACTGGTGGGTCAAGGCTGCAATAGACTCCACGCTATACTTCTAAATACTTCAGCCTCAGATTCAGCATATAATGTAACTTTTCATCATAGGATGCTGGAACACATAAGAAAGAGTACCCCAAAATGATTAATATATGTACCTCGTAAAAGATATCTTGAGCTGAGATGTATGTTAATGCTGGCATGCAAACCGGAAACTGTTCGGTAGAACGATCGTTTCTCCAAGCACAATCCTAGAACAGAAAGTTCATTTTCATTTAATAACTAGGAGAGTTACACTATTGAAATGTAATATTGAAAGTCACAATTATAATTGAATTATTCTATTATCTTAACTTGCAATGACTTTGACAAATGTTTTTTAAAAAATTAAATGGTGCAGTTTTACCTGCCTGTTTTGCCTAGGAACATAACTATATATTGGTCAACGCAACATACACTCTTACCTTGAAGCCAATTATAGAAGGTTCGTCCTGTTGGGAAAAATGAAACAAAATCATGTTCATTGTAGTGTAGAATTTACAACAGCGTGACAATCTTAGGAGCACCTCAGCAGAAACTACATGTAACCCCAGGATTAATTACCAGTAAAGAAATTGACAAGATTTACGAATCTGCACAAAATAAATATGGAACTTCAGCAAAAACAAATATAGATAGGATAAATATAGATAGGCTGCAGCATTAGAGTTCACTTTTAAGCTGTGCTGTCCCTTAGCAACAAAGACTGACTGGCGAGTTCGCCAAACTGGGAGCTGTCTTATGCAACAGCAGGACTGAATTTAACAAGTCAACAATTCACTACCCTGTATATTTTGAAACTTTAGCTTCTCACATGATTTCTAATGTAAACAGTACCAGAATTACTCTTTCAGAAGATTTTTGCAGTAAGAATTTTAGCCTATACACCAAAGAACTCTGATAATCGTTTAACAGGATTATTCTGAAAAAAGGAGAACCTTGTTCCTCCTCTCTTTGGGCATTGCCACCACCAGTAACTAATTCCAAGTAAAGCCTGAAGTTTGCCTCACAAAGGAACACTTCAATTCGTGGACTTTATGGGTAAGTAAGCAGATGAGCTATTTGATTCACTGTGTGATGATTAGTTTGGCTCAGTTGTTGAGCACTCTGGCCTCTAGGTCAAAAAGTTTTAAGTTGAATGCAAAAATTAGAAAATCAGCTGAAAACAGTACCAAGGAATGTTTAGGAGATGAAACGAAATGAAATAGGAGCTTTTAGTTTTATCTTGAACAAATTTAACATATACACCAAGTACACCCAAACATACGCACACACAAACAGTCTTGCTCTTTTAAGATTTATAAGTGTTAGGGCCCTTATGAAGGGGTTAATTTAAAAGCATTTCAATCCAATGTTCTTCTGGTGATCAATCCCATATCCAAGACCTAACTGAAATACTGAATCATCCAGTTCTGAGAAAGAGGGCCGTTACCTTCATCACCTGCAAAAGAAGAAAATATCAGCTCAATAGGCTTTTGAATTTGATGAAACACCTTTGAATGGTTTACATTAGGGGTCTATTTCTTTTTGATTAAAAAAACCCACAGAATTCCTTGACTCCTGGTTAATTCCCATCAACCCAAAGGAATTCTGCTTCAGAATGAGATCACTTTATAGACTTATTGACTTATCGATTTTAAAATGTTGATTTTTAGTGAACATTAACTCACCTCTGCCAGGTACCATTGGGTTGAATGGTCTTCTAATGGAGTTTGGCCTGCAATGTGAAGAGAGTCATATGATAGACCTAGAAGGAGCTCAGCTCAAAAATCAGTATACAGAGGTCATTGATGCAGCATGATTTGGCTCCAGTTATCCAAGTTAAGGCAATTCTCTTACACTTGCATATGCTGATTGAAATCAATAGCAATCGTCGCATTATTTCTTTATATTTGGAAGACAACAAATTGTACCCTTCACATCATCAACAAAGCTAGATATTAGGTACTAAATATTTTTAGTATTCTATGATAGAGATTCCCATCGTCAGGCTCAGTGATTTCACCAAGCTAATTTCTCCAGCAGAGGTCATCACCCTCACTGTCTAAACATAAAAGTATTGGAAGATATTAAAGCAAATAACTTTCATTTTATTTTTATATAAGGATACTCATAGAGACACCAGTAAAAGCCTGGAATATTTTCACTGTTTTGCATACAACTTACTTAAAACAGTTTTCTTCATAGATGCTATTCCAGATTTTCCATGCTTCTGGACCTTTATAACCTGTGTAGCGTTCTGGGTTCAGAAGCAAATCCACATATTCAGCATCTGGAGAATATTCATCTGAGAAAAAAAAATGGTACCAGTCAGAATCAGATCCTTCACTCCTCCCCTCCCCCACGCCCCATCACTTCCATTTTCAAGCAATATCTGCTTGAAGTTCACATTTCTCACACGCACACTGCAGACAATATAAGATACTTGTAAAGACAAGAGGTCTTACCATCAGCTTCACAGAAGTTATCTGAAGAGTCATCATGTCTAGTCCAGTCTAGCATTGCTTGTTTTGTTTCTTCACTGAACAATATTAAAAAGAATAATTGATCACATGTGGTTATGATACATATGTCAAACTTGTAGTAGAAATGATTAACGAATGTCAAAGATTATATAGATCCCCCCAATTGCAGATATTTTCGAAACAAAGAAATTTATATCCTGCACAGCTATCTCAGCTACAATGGCAGTAAATAGCGAGGAGCCAAGTTGATGAAATAATTACCTCAAAGAATTGTTGACGGCTCCCAGCTTCTCTGTCTTTTCACATTCTCGTTCATCCTTGGAAACAACATTTGCTTCTTCAGTGTACTAGGAGGTCACCGAATTAGATTTGTTAGTCAAAAGGTCGTTATAGTTATGATTGCGCATAAAGTATGGAAATAATTTTGAGAAACATAACTGCATTGTACAGTACTTTTCTGCCTCTTGCCTGATAAAGATATCATGATATGCTTACATTACAATGTTTATACTATATTGCTATCACTGATTCAGAAAGCATCTTGTGGTAGCTCCAAATACTGATATTTATTGCCAAGAGCTGCTCCAAGAAATAAAGGTCAAAATGAACTATTACATAAATAGGAAAACATGGCATGTGTACTAATAAAATTACAGAGCTCAGAATAGACACAAACAAGTCCACTCAAGCTTTTCCTTTGTGCTGTGGGGTGTGGTTCTGAATCCCTGGAACCTGTACATTGTGTGTTACTGTGTTTTGGCTTCTTCCTATTGATTGTTTTATTTATTCAACGGAGGAAAATAAATCATAATTGACAGGCAGCAAGTAGCAATAACCCAGTTTTTATTCCAATTTTACGAAGGCAACTGTAAATGTATCTTTTGCTTCCCTTAAACAAATGCCTCCGTGTTGTACCAACCTACCAACCTGCCCGCTCCCTCCATTCAGCGGGCTCCAGCCTGCTCCATGTCTCACGCCCAACCCGCCCTACCATCGGTGAAGGGCTTTCAGCCTCTCTGGCCCCACACTCTGGAACTCCATCCCACAGTCCCTTCGCCTCGCTTCCTCCCCTGCCTCCTTCAAGGCCGGTCTCAAGACCCTCCAACAATTTTGTTGTTTTTGTAGAATAGAGCATTAATAAAAGGTTATTTTGAAAAATAAAAAGTAATGTTTGAATGCTGAAGTATTTTTCAAACAATAAGGGTATTCAACATTAAAGTTCAAGGTTTTAGTACTGTACCTTAAAACTTGCTGATCTGATTCCTGCAGGCACTTCATCCTGAAGCAAACAAAAGTTGAACATTTTTGTGAAATGAAATGTAGTAGAAATAAAATTAGTGTCATTAAACTAGAAGAGGGAATGTGAAATTCTAGATTTACTACAACCCATAAGTTCTTATATTAGGTTACAAACTTTTATAAATGTAATTTTTAAAAAAACGAATTGTCACAAGCAAATTGGTTCGAAGAGTTTGAGCAAAAGACAGGAATCAGTGAGGTTGAGGAGATCAGAGTCAAAAGTGAGAAGACGTCGGCACGAGCAGAGAAGAATGACTTGAGATGCAGGAAATTGAGGCTCGTGCAGGACTTGATGTTTGACAATGCAGTTAGAACATCAGGGGAATTGGAATTAAGGAGTATGTCTTAAGTACACCTTTAGGCATACAACAAACGATATGTGTTGGGAGCTCGCCAAACCATACAGAGCAAGGTAACTGGGCCCTGTGGAGTGGTTTGAGACGTGAAGATAACACCTGATCCACTATTGGTCTATAGTTTGAAGCCTGGTTTGTGGGAGGAGGCTCCCTGGGACACACAGGTCACTGAACCGAAAACACAACTCACTCCCTACGCTATCTTTATAGGTTTGTCTTGAGAAAACCATGTGCGGGAAAAAGACTGTACTGAATCTGCTCACAACACCTACTTTTCGACACTCTGCTCTATTGTTTTGACATTTTAATTAATTTATATTGAGTATCTAAAAAGGGCAATTGTCCAAAACACATTCCTTTCAATAACCTACAAGGCATCCGATCTCACCATTGGGGAATTAAGAATTTAAATACAATGGACATTGGGATTATTTGGAAGAGGAAATAATTCCAATACCATCAACTTTCCTTTGAAAACATTGAAGTAAAATAATCTTACTGGTTCGCAAGCTTTGACAGCACAATCCCTCAGCCCACAATGGCTTTTGTCTGACCAGAATGGACAAGGCTTTTTTAAATTCACCTGAAAGGAAAGAGGGCAGAAAATAAAATCAGTCCCAAGTTTATCAACCATGTCAAACAATTGAACGTTTTATTAATCTGGATGTTGAAAATAATGGAAACGTACCTTGTAATATCTAAAGTAGTCACTGTTTAGCAGTTCTTCTAGTTTGGGGAAGATTTTGTTGTTGTTGAAATCATGAATCGTTTCAACATCACAAGTACAATCATTCAAGTATCCAGTTACCTACAGTTACAAATATTTTTTTAATGCCATAGTCTTTAATAAGCGGTGCTACCTTAGAAATACAGCTACAATGTCCACAGTCACTACACTTTACAGTACATCCTGTGAAACGCTTTGAGATATTCTCCTAACTTGTAAAGCGCAATATCAAATGCAAGGATTATAACTCTTAGTTGCCGTACACGGAGTACATCAAAGTCAATGAACACATTTTTAGTTTGTATCCAAGTGCAGGGCTGATCAGTGATCCTTCATCAGATAAAGATCAACAGTGACTGAAAATTCCAGCTTCACGAAGATAAAAAAGATATATTCAGGGACTTTCAAAGTCTAGCAATTATGTTTAGGGTTATTTTGGCAGGTCTAGAACATTCAACAATAAGGTTATCCCAAAACTTTAGTTTTACCCATTTGAAGGTTGACTGCCAAATGCTTTATAATAGAGTAGTGCTGGAGTTGATAGGATCCTGAAATAATTTGTAAAATATTCAAATTCCAAACAAAAGGGAGTCTTTGTTCTTTCAAAAGAGGTCAGATGCCACCACTGACTTTACAGGTACGGTCAATAATGGCATCTATTACGGGAAAGAAAAAGCTTCTCCTACATCTCTCAAGTGCAAGAGGTGTTTAAATAAGAAAGGTGCATGAGACCATTTGATCTCATCCTTTGAGAGTACTAGCCTTCCATTTTCCTACTACACCATCAAGGGTACTATCTGCTCTCTGCATCTCTCTAGTTAAGCAAAACAGCAGTCACCAGATGCACAGTCAGCAAAACATAATCTTCCATTCATTTCAAGAGATCTAGCACTCAATGGAAAAAAATTAATGTGACAATAATTGGAAGATTACAATAGAAATATCGATTACTTTAAACCAAAATTTTAAACATTTTTTTTACACCATTCATCCGCCCAGAACAAAAGGATAGCAAACTTGTGGCTGGACATTAATCCTCCAGAAAGTGTACACACCTCTCTGTCAACATTATAAACAATATAAATACATTTATTTTATTACGCATTCAGCGCTTTATAGAAAGCATTTCGTAACAGCCCTGGGAAAGTATGCTCCTGCTTATGGAGACACAAAAGTACTTATTGATGTTGCAATCCCAACCAATAATGCTCCCATTGATCCACTGTTAAAACACTACTCACTGATTTTCCCAGAAGCGGCCTCTGGAAAACTATGCCATCTTCTACTGCTCGACAATCAATTGAAAACTCACTGTATTCACATAATCTGTTGCCTTTCCCAATCTATAATCTGGCAGTTTATCCCACCAGTGGCTTTGCAGAATTATACTGAGCAGACATGACATGACATGTGTTACTCCTGAAACCAATTTGCCACCAAATGTGCAGCATAAACACAGGATAAATGTGTCACTTCCATGAAATCTTCCAATTACCTAGAGTGCAAGCATTTTATATTTTACCTAAACCCAGCTACGAAAGTAAATGCAAAAGACTCTACAAGTAACACAAATATCAACAGGGGTGTGTGTGTGTGTGTGTGTTCGTGTAATTCCAACTGGTTATAACTCTGTGGTGTGTTTTTGGATTTCCAAAATTAACTTCCTGAAAGAACTAACTCCATTCTGAGCAGAAAGTGACAGAGAGAGAGAGAGAGAGAGAGAGAGAATCCTAATTGTAAGCATTGTAACCAAAAAAACAATAATAAATTGGTCATTTTCAATCTATGACTGTTTGTGGGACATTGCTGTGCGCAATTGGCTGCCGCGTTCGCCAACAAATATACAGTCAATTCACTTTACAGCGTGTTCTGTGAAGCGCTTTGGGACGTCCTCCCGACGTGAAAAGCACTATATCAAATGCAAGGATTATTATTATTGTTACTATTTGTATTCCATCAGTAAACGTAAGTGTAATTGTTACAGCACCGGATCTCGAAGTGGGAGGAGATGTCCTGGTGATAACACACTCTGCCTACGTGCTCTGTGAACCATCCGCACTTAGTCAAGAACCAGCCTGCAACTGTGCAGGACAACTCCTGCCCCAACCCATCAAGGACACCTCCCCATCACCAAAGCACCAAACAAGGGACCTCTTGAGCAAAATTGCCTAGAGTGCAAGCATTTTATATTTTACCTAAACCCAGCCACGAAGGTAAATGCAAAAGACTCTACAAGTAACACAAATATCAACAGGGGTGTGTGTGTGTGTGTGTGTTCGTGTAATTCCAACTGGTTATAAGTCTGTGGTGTGTTTTGGGATTTCCAAAATTAACTTCCTGAAAGAACTAACTCCATTCTGAGCAGAGAGTGACACAGAGAGAGAGAGGGAGAGAGAATCCTAATTGTAAGCATTGTAACCAAAAAAACAATAATAAATTGGTCATTTTCAATCTACGACTGTTTGTGGGGCATTGCTGTGCGCAATCGGCTGCCGCGTTCGCCCACAAATATAACAGTCAATTCACTTTACAGTGTGTTCTGTGAAGCGCTTTGGGACGTCCTCCCGACGTGAAAAGCGCTATATCAAATGCGAGGATTATTATCATTATTACTGTTTGTACGTCATCAGTAAAGGTAAGTGTAATCGTGACAGCACCGGATCTCGAAGTGGGAGGAGATGTCCTGGTGATAACACACTCTGCCTACGTGCTCTGTGAACCATCCACACTCAGTCAAGAACCAGCCTGCAACTGTGCAGGACAACTCCTGCCCCAACCCATCAAGGACACCTCCCCATCACCAAAGCACCACACAAGGGACCTCTTGAGCAAAACCCAATCATCCAGTTGTGCCCAAGGCAGGCCAACATGGTGTGGGACAAGGAACCCCTTGCGCTGAGACTGACACCTCTGCGCATCGCACAGCGATACAGGGCAATGAAGGACAAGAGAGAAGAGCAGTTCGAGAAAGCAGCCCCTGAATTACAACCCAACAGGTCACAGAAAAGGATCGGCGGCTGCTCACCTGACAGAAACACCTCCGAGCAGCCGAGCCTCGCTGCATGTCGTTGCTCTGCTCGGTCCAACCTGGGGAGGCACTCAGCACTGCCGCAAACAGCAGCAGCAGCAGCAGCAGCAGAGCCTTCATCGTGGGATGATGTTGGTCAAAGCAGCAGCACATCCTTACAAACAAGCGATTGCAATCATAACGAGGGGTGTGGGGAGGGGTGTGGGGAGTGGGGGGGGGAAAAAAGTTAAACCAAGGAAACGTTATGCCACCAGAAAGGAACGGGCATCGGGGACAACTGGGTTTGACTCATTCAAAGTTTATTCTTTTAAAGCGCCTCCCCCCGCCTCCCACCTGGTGCATTGCTCTCTCCGACTTCCTTGTGTGTAACAGCAAATTTGCACGTCGCGATCTTTCCCTTCTTGGGCAATGAATATTCACGGGAAGAGCGTCTCATTGGCTCACAATGTTTTTTTTAAAAAAAATATATATATTTTTTATATACACACACACACACAGCTGCTTTCCGCTCCTCCTTGAGGGCAACACACCGAAACCCACAACTTCCTTGAAAAGATTCTGGCGACGTGTTCTGTGTGCTTTTATGCACTTGCGGCAATGGGGCTGGCCGGCAGGGACCGGGTCATTTTGTTTTAAAGGCCGTACAAGAAAATACAACGTGCATCTTCCCATGGTAGATCATTCGTTCAGGATGTGACTCGTATCTGGTGGTGTTGTGTTGCGTTATGTTGTTCTCTTCCTGATCACTATGTGTGAGTGAGGATGAACCATTCAAGGGCGAAGGTTTATGATATCGCCAGCGGTTCTGCACTTAGGGAGCTGCAGTATATTCGGTCCAACTCACCCGTGGAGCTTGACAACAACAACCACAACGACAACAACAACAACAACAAATGACATTCTTCTATGAGGCGGAAGCAATTATCGAATGGAACTTGCAGTTTTCCTGGAATTTGATATCTAACCGCACAGGGTTGAGTAAAATTCGAGCTCCTTAACAGTTTGCTAGCAGTCATTAATTCATTGTAATGTCTAAAAATTCAATCACGACATTTCATTTATGGGGAGAATGAACTTTTAAAATATATACTTATTTAAAATATCTAGGGGGTTCATTAGATGAAACATATTTTCTACCCTAATAGAAAAAAATGAAATCACATAAATTCTTCAGCATTATTTACTTTGCCATGATAAGCACCATTGTCATTCAGGGGGGTCAAAACCTGCACTGTACACGTTGCCACCATTCTGATTAGTACGGTATACACATTAGGTGGTTTGGGACCACCATCAAGTACAAATATAACATATTTAACCAACAATGTCTTACTGTTTATCCCTTATGAGGTTTCTATTAATTTCATTAAAAAAATTCTGCAGTGCCTTAACTTGTAATTCTCATTGGACCCTCACACCAATCCAATGGATGCAATGTATAAATAAATGTAAAAGTAGCATAGGAAGGTGGTTTAACAACAGTGATGTGAAATTGCAAATGCTATATCAACTTTTCCCTCTTCGCACATGGCACAAATAGTCGTGGAATACTAGTAATACTATTATCCTATAGAAATTAGTTTAACATACTAGTGCATCTTATTGTTGGAAGACCGGATGGCATTCCAGACACATGGGATTTTCCACATGCAGGTGGCATACATACAGTAAGTGGAACTCCCAATTTGATTTGGATACTTTTAAGCATGGTGACAGGTTTGGGTGTGTGTCAGAGACTCAGTTATCAAAAAAAAAACTGGATGGCATCATGAATATTTAAGACCTAGAATAAACACTATATAAGAACATAAGAACATAAGAATTAGGAGCAGGAGTAGGCCATTCGGCCCCTCGAGCCTGTCCTGCCATTCGATAAGATCAGGGCTGATCTTCAGACCTACCTCTAGTTACCTGCCCTATCCCCATATCCCCTAATCCCTCTGTTTTTTAAAAAATCTGTCAGTCTCAGCCTTGAAGATGTTCAAGGACTGAGCATCTACAGCCTTCTGGGCTGTTTCCTCAACTCTGTTCTAAAAGGCTGACCCTTAATTTTAAGACTGTGACCCCTGGTTATAGATTCTCCTACCGGGGAAACAGGCCCTCAGTGTCTACTTTATCAGCCCTTTAAGGAAGTTATATGTTTCAATAAGATCTCCACTAATTCTTCTGTACTCTAGAGAATACAGCCCCAGTTTATTCAGCCTATCCTCATAGGTCAGTCCCCTCATCCCAGGAACTAACCGAGTGAATCTACACTGCAGCCCCTCGAGGGCAAGTATGTCCTTTTTTTAATAAGGAGACCAAAACTGGTCTTTATATAGACCCAAACTATATTTTGCACCATGTACTTCTTTGACTAAGCTTTGGTTGCTCCGCTCTGACGTTGAAACTTTCCCAAGTTTCAGGTGCAGCGGGAAGGTGAGCCGAGGGGCGGATCAATCAGCGAATGGGTCCGTCTGTCTGCTCTTCTCGCTCCTGACCACTGGGGGAGCACAGCCTGTGGGGAGCACCGCGTACGGTGCGGCTGAAGGTGGCTCTGTCGCTGGAGGTCCTCTGGTGGTGGGCGCTTTGCTCGCCTCGTGCCACTCTTGCTGTTCGTGGCGGCTCTTTGTCACGCCGAGCGCCGGGGTTCGGTCCCAGCAGGCACCGCTTCAGCCCGAGCACCAACATGGCGGATCCGAGGGGGAAAGGGCTGCAGGATTACAGAAAGAAACTACTGGAGCACAAAGAGATCGACGGCCGCCTGAAGGAGTGTAGGTCTTCATCGGTTTGCATCTCTGTCGCGGGTCGCGTAACGAGCGGGGCCCCGGGGGGGCCCGTGGGACGTGCAGCAGCGAGGCCGGCACCAACTCGCTTTGTCATCCATTCAGAGTGAGCCGCGGGCCCGGCGCCTGGGGAGGGCAGGGCAGGGGAGGAGTGCCTGGACTTGAGGCTCCTCCGCGTTGACCTGACAGAGAGAGGGGTTGGGGGGGGTGGGGGGTTATCGTCAGCCGCACCTGGTTGTCAGATCCGAATTGAAATGTCAGATCCTTGATCGAGATGCTGCTCGGTTTCCGTTATAAGAGCGCCCCGACAGAGCCGACCGTGCTCTGTGCACCTGACCCTCACGCCTTTCAAGAAGTACGGTACAGCACTTTCGCGTTCGTTAAAAGTTCTCTCCCCTCTCTCCCCGGCGGGCGCGCGCGCGCGTGTGTGTGTGAGAGAGAGAGAGGAAGCCATGAGTACCGTTTGGGAGGTGGGGGATCGGGGCCTTCACCGTTCAGAAGTGCCACTTGTCCATCCATCTGCTGCTAAAATTGCGTGTAGGCAATAAGTCATTACGACACCAAGCTGCTATTTAAATAGATTGTTGTCGGCCTATCCTGTTTGGGTGAGTAGGGTAGCGAGCCTTTGAAACCGTGCACGCTAATTGCATGAAAACACATTAAATTAAATTACACCTTTGTCGCATTATCATCTTGTACGTGTGCGAAACGAGCGTGTTTTACAAATAGTGTGCGTTCATGAAGACAACGGTTCTTTAATTCGTTGAAAGAATGGTAACTCCCGTCTCAAACGCTACCCACATGAAGGCATATAAATATACAAGTTGATCCTGTGTAGAAATGCACATGGTATCTTGCCAGGGCAACATTTTCCATTTCATCTCGTCATATACAGTATATCCTGCATTTTTAAAATAGCAATTTCAATGGATTTAAAAGGATGTGAGGATCACTTAGGAGAAAGTCTGGTCAATCTGTAAAATCAATTTTTTTTTTGGCAATTTTCTTAAATAGTAAGAGAACAACTGAAGGAGCTAACAAAACAGTATGAAAAATCTGAAAATGACCTCAAAGCTCTTCAGAGTGTGGGACAGGTAAGTTTGTTGTTCCTTCAGAAAATAATTTTAAGATGCATTTTTATATCTTTCTCTTTGAGTTGAATAGTTATTTCTTTTATAGATTGTCGGTGAAGTGTTGAAACAACTTACAGAAGAGAAATGTAAGTATTCCATTCTGATTTCTGTAAGAAATCTGAAATATTTTTGCTAATTCTGTAACTAAACAGAATTTGTTTGTATTGTACTGCAATGCAGTTAAAGTGATCTGCCCATGTTGTTTTCTGTTTAGTTATTGTGAAAGCTACAAATGGACCAAGATATGTTGTTGGCTGCCGTAGACAGGTAAAGCATTTGAAAATTGTTCAGAAATCCCATATCTATGACCATGCCATACTGGATGCTGCAATGTTTATGTTGTCTGTCATAAAGCTTGATACACACCTGTTACCTTTTAAAATGTAGTATACATTTATGTGTCTGTAGATATTGAATAGGAGTGATACTTAGTTTTTTAAGAATAAATATTTTGGAAATTTGTCAAATATGCATGTCAACATCTTTCGTGACTATTTAGCGGCTATATGTATATATATATAAATAAACCAAATAGCCATGAAAGAGGTTCTGCTTGCTTTCGAGGTGGGAATAGGAATACCATTTGAGTACAAATGCTACTGAATTTGAAATCTGTTTTGGGTTTTTGGCATACTGTAAATATTTTCTTTTTCCTTCTCTTTCATAATTATAGCTTGAAAAAAGCAAACTGAAACCTGGGACTCGAGTTGCCCTCGATATGACTACTCTGACTATAATGAGGTAGGAAGTTCATTCCAAGCTTTTTACTCAGTAAGAAAAATATTCACTCAATTTCACTATGTTTGTTGTAACTTTATAAGGTTTTCATAGGTCTCAACTGAATGACAAAGGATTTGTGTTGTATTTTGTGGTTATGTCCAGCAAGTGTTGGTCAACATTTTTTGGAAAAGCCATTGGAAAAATATGCCAAATGGTTGGTCTTTCATATAATAGTAATTTTTTTTCAATAAAGTGTTTGACTCACTATAAGTGGGTTAATTATGGCGCATCTTTGATTGGTTTTATAGAATAGTGAGTACAGTCCTGTTATGAGGTAAAGGAGTCTGATTTTGATTTTGGTTGTTTTGAACAAAACAAGAGGAACAAAATAATGAGATAAAATTGGTATTCAAAATGATGTTATCTGATCAAGCATAATGGCAAGTTGTAATTGCAGTTGATGTGAATTATTTGTGTTAAACAGATACTTGCCAAGGGAAGTGGATCCATTGGTATATAACATGTCTCATGAAGATCCTGGAAATGTGACTTATTCTGAGATTGGTGGACTAGCAGAACAGATTAGGGAATTGCGAGAGGTACGTTTGGCAGATCATGTCCAAATCCCTGACTGTCCAGCACCTTGGGATGTCCTCCCTATGTGAAAGGCGCTATACAAATATAATTAGTATTGTATGTGTTGTTTTGGTGTAAAACCTGAACTGCTTTCCATGTGGCTGTTTGTGCCTAAATTTCTTTAATTGCTGTAATTGATATTATTCTGTGTCTGCAGGTTATAGAGTTGCCTCTTACAAACCCAGAACTGTTTCAACGTGTAGGGATAATTCCGCCAAAAGGGTGCTTACTGTATGGACCACCAGGTAATATTTAAAGAGCATTTTATATAATTCTTTATGGTCTAGATTCAAATCAGATTGCGTGTAAAAAGAAGAAAGATGTTACAGTGGTAGTCTGAGCAGAGTCTACCAGCTTGCTATCACAAAATATGATTTGAGGCAGAGACCTAAAAGGTATGCTGAATTTCAATCCGTATTTATTGTTCCATGCTAGCAAACTGCTTTATCTGATAATGGAGATATCTTTAAAAAAACATCAATTGAACTATTGTGAAGTCCAATTTTATTTAATATATTTTGTGAGAATGACAAGTTAACTTTTTTCTTTTGCTCTCTTTCAGGTACAGGAAAAACACTCTTGGCAAGAGCTGTTGCCAGTCAATTAGACTGCAACTTTTTAAAGGTAAATTGAGAAATAACTTCTTGATCAGTTTTCCACTAAGATATAATTGTTTTTAGTTGACATGCTCTGTTTTTGAAACTGAACATTGACATTTTTTTGTAGGTTGTTTCCAGCTCTATTGTTGATAAATACATTGGTGAAAGTGCCCGTTTGATCAGAGAGATGTTCAATTATGCTAGGGATCATCAGCCATGCATCATTTTTATGGATGAGATTGATGCTATTGGTAAGTTTGCTGCTTGTCCTTTAACACAGAATTGCAATCAACTGCATTACCAAAATAATGTAATCTGCTTTAAAATCCAGTCTCACTTTAGGCGCTTGAGAATTAACTTGATTGAAACTTTTCTTTCCCAATAAGGTTGTAAGAACAAGACTTGACTAAGTGTAATGTACTGTTCTGGGTATAATACATGTTTCAGAATAATTTACTGCTTAATTTGTAATGGTTGGGGGATGGGGGTTAGGGGTAGGGAGACTCACTTAATTCAGGAAATATTCTACAATGACATTTTGTTGCAGGTGGTCGCCGTTTCTCTGAGGGAACCTCAGCTGATCGAGAGATTCAGAGAACTTTAATGGAGGTTGGTGAATCAAACTATTATTCAAGGTTAAATATGGGAGACGTTTATAATTTTTAGCCCAACCTTGTAGAACTTTGCTTGTTTTGTATAAACCTATTTGTGGAAGCTTTTAATAATATTAATTTAAATATCTTGGAAAATCCATTACTTATGAGGCCAAATATATATTCTAATTACTGACTTGATTTATGATGATGTAAAATATTTCATTAAAATGAATATGAATATATCCCATAGATTGTTCCTCAGTAAATTTATATGTGGTGCATCGTCATAGAATCGTACTGCACATGATTTTGAAAACCTCTATTTGGTCTCCTCGTAACCTTCTCTGCTCCAGTGAGAATAATCCCAGCCTCTCTAGCCTTTCCTCATAATCAAGGTCCCTCATTCCTGGTACCATCCTTATATATCTCTTCTGCACCCTTTCCAATGCCTTAACACCCTTCCTATAGTGTGGTGCCCAGAACTGGGCGCAATATTCTAACTGAGACCTAACCAGTGTTTTATATAGGTTAATCATAACCTCCTGACTCTTGTACTCTATGCCCCTATTTATAAAGCCTAGTAACCCATATGCCCTTTTTACAGCTTTATCTACTTGTCCTGCCACCTTCAAGGATTCATTTACCTGAACCACCAGGTCTCTCTGTTCCTTCACCCCCCTTAAGATTGTATTACCAGCCTGTATTGCCTCCCCTCATCCTTTCTTCCAAAATGCATTACCATTCTGTCTATGTTTTCCTGCAGTTGGCTACTATCCTTCTCACTGTTTACTATCCTTCCTAACTTTGGGTCGTCCGCAAACTTGGAAATGGTGCTTGCTATACCCAAGTCCAGATCATTTAGATATATATACATTAAGAAGAGCAGTGGTCCTAAAACCGATTCCTGGGGGACGCCACTGTACACTTCCCATCAACTACTTATGTCATGGGTTAATTATGTGGGACTGTAAATCTCTGGGTTTGATGTCCCAAATGCTGTTTTTCATTCCATGATTTCTTGTCGTTCTATATTATTTCAATAAAGAACACTGCATACAAGCTAGCTACAACTATTCTTGTTCCGCTGTAGCTATAACAGTCATTAACATTTACGGTAACTTGCACTTATGTAGCACCCTCCGCCCAGGGTAGCTTCTCAGAGCGCTTAACAGTGGCGGAGCCTGTCTTTGAGCTGGGGGGTGGGGAGGTGGCTGTAAGGATGGTCGAAAAGGAAGGTTTTCAGGCTGGAACTTACCACTAGGAGATTATTATAATGCTGCTTCTCTTTCCTGACCGAGCTGAATAACAAGGCTTTGAATAATAAGGCTGGCAGTGAGCAGGGCTGATCCACCTGTTAGCAGACGTGTCCTGGTAACATCCTCTGAACCATTGATCATGAACCAAAATTGAAAGAAGAAGATTGAGTGCTTAGTTTGTACAAAATTCTTGCTCATCACAGTATGTAAAACTTGAGTGGATATTGGTTCTAAAGCAAGATGGCATATATATCATTATTCTGCATACATATTAAAGTTCTGTATAAAAATAATTTTGTTTTGTTGGATTTTGTTGTAGCTACTCAATCAAATGGATGGATTTGATACACTTCATAGAGTTAAGATGATTATGGCTACAAATAGACCAGACACTTTGGATCCTGCATTATTGCGTCCTGGAAGACTTGATAGAAAGATTCGTAAGTATATAAAGCTTTCAAAGATTAAGTACTGTTGGAAGCTTGTGCACAATACAGTATATCCCTGTTATACTCAGGTTGTAGACCTTAAAAAATAAAAATTTGTATGCCAGATTACTCCATCCTTCCAGTCTGGTGACCCAGAAGTCGGCTGGTTTGACTTTCTGTGCCCCGGCTTGCGTTTTGCCTTTTTGTTTGAGGCAAGTGTGCGTAGTGAATCCGGAAGCACTGATGGGTGATTGTTCCAATTATATTACTGGTTTGAATTTTACGGCATCTGATTAGTATTATAACAGGGCTCAACTGAATTTTGAATTGCATTTTGCAATTCTAGATATTGAACTTCCAAATGAGCAAGCAAGATTGGATATCTTGAAGATTCATGCAGGTCCTATCACAAAGCATGGAGAAATAGGTATGTCAAGAATATTAAGTTTGCTTGCATGTTTTTCATATTCTGTAAGTAATATCTTAAAAGTAGAAAGTGTACAATAAATGAACCAGAATTTGATTATTTGTGGATAATACTGTGATGAGTTCACAAACAACATTTAACTAAGATAAGTGTAAACCTGTGCCTTACCATTTTGTGACTCAGTATGATGGGACTCCAATCCAACTTCGAACAGTATCTTTGAATACTAAACTTTAAACGATTTAATTCTGCTTCCCTTTACTCTCCCAAACCTTGGAAGTATTTTAATATCCATACTCTTTGAAGATGTTAGGTGTTCCAATATGTTTTTGTAATGGAGTTTTGTTCCCATTCAAAACTATTCATATCTATTATCCTTGTTGATAGTGATGTTTACTCTGTTCTTTGGTTCGTTACATCATTAAAATTAAGACTATTTGAATGTGTGAATTTACTGATTATATTTACAGATTATGAAGCGGTTGTCAAACTGTCAGATGGATTTAATGGTGCAGATTTGAGAAATGTTTGCACTGAAGCAGGTACAGTATAATTTTACAGGTAGTTTTGTGTTATGATGTTTTGAATCTGCATTGTTTTTATAAGCTTTACAATGCAAAAGTGTTGATTTCCACCAAAAGACTGAAATGCAGAGATGTTTTTAGTATGGATAATATTTGTTATTCGTATGATGGAAATTAATGTCTTTTTTGAATATTCACAAATTTCCTTTTAAGGTATGTTTGCGATTCGTGCTGATCGTGACTATGTTGAGCAGGAAGATTTCATGAAGGCAGTCCGAAAAGTTGCTGACTCTAAGAAGCTAGAATCGAAGCTTGACTACAAACCTGTATAAGTTAACCCTCCTTTTTGACTGGAATTGTACAGCTTTAAAGGGGTGCAAATGGAAACGTGTATCTTAAACAGAAGAGTGAAATCTGGATAATCTTTCTATACTGTTTGGTTACAGGTATATAGTTTGCTGTAAATGGTAGGTAACGACTAATAGTGATGTTCTGACATATATATATGACAACTTGTTTCTATTGCTATCATTTGTAACTGCTGGAAGATGTTTTTGAGAAGCAAAAGTTGCTGTTTGAGATCTGCCTGTATTAACAGTGTAACAGTGTCCTTTTGTATCCAAGATGACACTTAGGGGCTTTGTGGTACAAATGTTCAAATGCAAATATTTCGATCAGTTGTTTACAAATTTTCCCCCAAACTCAATAAAATTTAAATTTACAAGAATGAAACTAGCTATGTCTTAAATGCATCGTAATATATTTTCTGTTCTGGCGTTGTGATTGCAGTGCGTCCATTTATATTCAATCTTAAAATAGATTCATTCAGTCTACTTAATGTTTTTTTTAAATGTATGTAACACTACCATAACTGCCTTCATTATGAATGACAGAATCAATTGGATCAAACTAGAAATAGAATGTTTGGAATATAGATTTTTCTGAAATGCCTGGTTCAGGTTGGTTCATTTAAAAACGTTGGTCTTGTATTATTTTTTACAACTGACAGTATAAGTACCAGCAACACAATAAACCAAAATTGGCATTGTTTAATTTGGAGTTTTATTATGGATGGGGGTGTGGAGGAGTGGGAATGAATGGATGATATTTCAGGTGAAAAGTAGCCAAAAAATGGGTTTTTTATGGTGGATTATAAATAACTACTGCTACTTGAATCTACTGCGAATCAATAGCAGCGTTGCACTGCTAGCAATCGTGCAGTGTTTGAATCCTAAAACTATTCCTACCCAACAGGTGGAGAGTGTTTCAGAGAATGGTTTACTCTTCATAGTGAATGTTAAAGAAGAACAGATTACATCATTGGAATAAAACTATCTTTAAAGAAAGGGCACTGTTGGTTTTCTGTCGAGTCCACAATTTTCCCAAATAATAGCTTTCTGTGCATTCACTTCCAAAATGTTACATTTGATAAGCAGTATTTAAATACTGAGGGTGTGTTGCATTGTCAGAGATGCTGTCCTTCAAATGAGACGAGGTCCTGACTGTCTGTTCAGGTGGACGTTTAAGATCCTGTGGCATTAATCAAAAGAGAAGGGGGTTTCTCCCGTTGCCCTAGTCAACAAATTCCCCAAAGAAACCCAGTCACTCACTCCATGGCTGTTTGTGGGACACTGCTGTGTGCAAACAGATTGCTGAGTTTTGCCCACAAATTACACGGTCAATCCACTTTACAGCATATCCCATGAAACGCTTTTGAGATGTTTTGACGGCGTGATAAGGTGCTACGCCAAACGCAAGGATTATTATCATTATCACAGCCCGCTGCGCTGAGTGCGGGAGTCGAGGCAGGAAATCCATATTAGCTTTCAAGAGAGAACTAGATATATGGGAGCGGGGAGGGAAAGGCGGGTAGAGGGGACTGAATCAACCGTACCACAATTTTGTGCGCAATGACCCTAAGGTAGAATTTCTAGCCATTTAGAATGGGCTGCAGGTGAGTGGCCCAGCAGCCGGAGGGAGAGCTGCGGTACTGAAAGGCTTTGCAGGTCTCCCATATGTGGTGTGGTGGTGGTGGCTGGAGTGTGTGTACAACAGGCAGTGAGTGAGTGAGTGAGTGAGTGAGTCCTGTAGCTCAGTGGTTACAGCACTCGCTTTGCAAGCGAGTAGACCCGAGTTCAATTCCAGGCAGGGGGCGAAACCTTGGGCAAGTTTCCTTACTCCGCACAGAGCCTAATCACCCTCCAAAAAAAAAAAACCAAACAATAATAAAATCGGGTCATTTTCAATCCACGTCCGTTTGCGGGGACACGGCCGCGCGCCATCGGCTGCCGCGTTCGCCCGCGCGCAAAAAAAAAAATGCAGTCGGTTCACTTTACAGTGTGCGTTCTGCGAAGCGCTTTGGGACGCGAAAAGCGTTATATCGAATGCAAAGATGATGATGATGATTATTATTATTATTATCACTGGTGACTGTGGGTGATTGACTGAGAGCGGCTGCTGGAGGCGGGGTTTGTGCGTCAACGTGCGCGCGGTGGGCCCGCGCCTGCGTGGTGACGTCGTTGATGTCGGTCGTCGTCGTCAGCGGCGGCGGCGGCAGCACCACCACCACCACCACCATGGCGGCGGCGCGTGTGCTGTCCGGCCCCGAGCTTCACTCCACATAACAGCGAGGTTTTCTTTATTTTTTTTAAAAAAAAAACCCTCCCTCCCGCCACTCAAATAATAAATACTGTTCGGTAAAGCCTCTCTGAGAGATGGATGAAGTGCATTTGGAGTTCCCGTCTTTACCGTCTTCCAGGGAAGACGTTGGGGTAGGCGACCGACCGACCGACCGACCGGTGCCCTGTTTCGGCCTAAAGTTGTGAACAAAGCCGCCGGCTCTGAGCCTGAGAGGGCGGGCGGGCGTGCGGTTGGGCGGGATGCGGGAGCTGGGGAGGAGGGGAGCGGGGATTAGGCCGTCACCGGGAGTGTCTCGTGGACAACCTGTGAGGAGGGGGAACCGAGCGCCTGTCTCTCCTCCGGTGGCGGTTGAAGCTCCCCCGGGGGGTGGGGGGGGGCGGCGGCGGCGGCTTCTCGCGCTCCTTTTGTGCTTCGTTCGGTTCGTGTCGACTTCGCCTCTTCTCGTCGAGCAGAACCAGGAAGAAGCTGCGACAAATATATAATATATATATATATATATATATACACACGTTTTATTTTAACGTCAACGTGTGGGCTATTGTGCTTTATTGTGTTTTTTTTTAAAAAAAGGAAACCCGCATAAATACACCGACTGAGGTTTAAATGAGCCGTAAAAACCGCTTCAAACACGTGAGAATTGAGAAATTGACCGCAAAACCAACTATCTCTTATTTTTTCACCCCCCTCCCCCTCCCCCCACCTCCTGCCGTGGGTGTTTTGCTTTTTTTTTAAAAAAAATGCGAACAGTATTAAGTGAATTGGGTTGGAGTGCAGTGGTGCCTTTTTGTGTCAGAAACCCCCCCAAGTTTAAACGTATTTGTACTTGAACTCAAGTCAGGTTGAGGAAGAGGTTACACACACACACACACACACCCTCTGAGGGACTCGTCCTGTTCCACAGTGAGTGATTGAGAACCAGGGGAAAGGTGATCAGCAATCTTCTGGGTTGGAAGAGGGAATGGAGAAGCTTCGACAGTTTGTATGAATATCCCATAAGGATGTCCATAAATGGTTTTGATACTGTTACCCCGGGTTTATCGAATGCCACTATAAACTTCATCACGTTTAGTTCAAGTGCTTTGAAGCCACACTTTATTATAATTTTCCCCCCGTGGTTTATGCCTTTAATTTGCCCGATACATTTCATGTGACAGGAATGTTAAATGTTCTGACTTTTTCCTAATCAGCAAAGAAAAAGGCAGGAGATTTACATTGGCCATTTGTACCAGACTGACGTGAATCTCTTGTTTTTCAGCCCCTAACCAAGTTTTGCTCCAAACAATCATTGGAGTAAGTAACTTCACATATTTATACTTGACAGTTTCCAGTGATCAGCTGAAAACTTGCAGCAAATGTGAATTTGCAGCTCTAGTATAAATGGGGCATTTGTGCTGCTTTCAAATTTGGCTCTGAAGCAAATAGATTTGAGTGAAGCTAATATAAACAATCCAATCTAAATCCCTGCTGGTCTGTTTGCCTGACACAGGCCTATTCAGCCTACATTTGTGTGCATATGTCAGGCCAATAATTTGATAACATCCAGCGTTTGTACTGCTTTCGAGCTGAGGTGTGTGTAAATGTAAGGTCACTTCAGTGTGTAACTTGATAAACCCAGAATTAATTGAGCATAAACTATTCTAGTTCTTGGGATCCAGAAGGTCCACTTAGAAATTCTGAGAATCCTCAGCTGTAAATTTAAGGAGTGATGCATCCAAAATTTAGTGTGGTGCTATTTTGAAACTTATGTACTGCTATAGGGATACTAAGATTTTAAATATTCTCCATCTAATTATTGATCTCATCATCCCACTGTAACTAAATGTGTGACTTATGTAAAAGCAGAAATATCTTTTGAAAAAATGCACTTTTTGTTGGTTAGTTGGGTGTATGACAAATGTGGAAATGCATCACCATGCTAAGATTATCTAAAACAGCATGAATTCTGTGTGTGCCACCCACACATGGAAATATCCATGTCTGGAATGGGAGGCAATTTGTAAACCTTAATCTGGAGAGTATTAGGGAATAATTGAGTATCAGTATTGAGTTAATGTTTCATTAGTCAGTCACCTCAGTTTACTTTTGCGTAAAGGAATGTTCCTAAATCGTAATCGTGATATTAAAAGCCTGTTTGTTATTGAAGATATTAAAAGTGGTTTACGTGAAGATACCACTTTGTATCTGCACTTGATGAATTGTTTTTGCATAATTACATTTGTTAATATTTAAGAAACTTATCTACAACCTTTAGTGCATGCAATTAAGTAAGCCACTTGCCATCAATTTTTTAAATTAAAAGACAACTAACCTCCTTGCCTCCCCACCCCAGAGCCAACTCTATTCTGAAATTAGGTTCTATCTTTTAAATAAACTGTTGCATTTATCAAATTTATGGATCACCTGTATCAAAACATTATGTTTTATACACTGATCAATAAGATCCTACACAAAGTACTGCAAACCTTTTAAACTGCATTTTTATCTTCTCTGCCCACATTTGTCTTCATTTTTTATGTACTCTTACATTTTAAAGTTTTTGAAGGACCTCTCTCATTTTAAAAAGGACCTAACAAGTTCAGGTCAATGAAATGCAAGTGAACGAGTGAGCTTCTTGCCTAGACTTAATTCGTAAAAGAAATTTAAAGGAAAGTGGCTGATAAAACGATGTGTAGTTTTAATCATTCTTGTTGAATGTAGCAAGGCATATCAGACACTTACTATTTGTTTGGCAGATGAATCTTTTGAAATAATAGTTACATGAAAGATAACTAGAGTATTGGGAAGCAGCTGATGAAACTCACAGAGGGTGTAAGGCACTTCTGGGGAGAAGATTTACTATATTTATCTAAAATTTTAGATTTGATGAATTCAATTTAACTTTGCAGCCGGTTTTCTGTAGTTTTTAAAAGATTTTATAGAAAATTGGCTTCAATATTAAATTGACAAATCTGGATGCTTTAAAATACTACATAAATAGAATAATTCTAGACTCGAGTGTAATTTCTCTCTTTTTAACTATGGTTTTAATTTCAACCCAGAAAAATATTCTCTAAATGTTAAATTCTACAGTAGATTTTTCACATTAACAAGGATTCTCTGGTGTACTCAGATGTGGTATTTTATACAATTTTGTTTCTTTTTCATTTAGGATTGGATGTATCCAATGAGACGAGAAATGCAGGTATTTATTGCATTTTATATTTTTTTTCATGTTGCTGTGAAGCTTAATTTCTTTGTTTAACTAGTAGTATCCTACTTTCACCTTCTTTCAAAAGATCTAAGTTGCAGTTCCTGATTGAAGCCTATTCCAGGGTATTAAAATTCACTAATATATTGAGTTTAATGACCTACAACTAATAATATAATAATAATCCTTGCATTTGATATAGCGCTTTTCATGTCTTCTAGACGTCTTGAAGAGCTTCACAGAATAGACTGTAAAGTGAATTGACTGTATATTTGTGGCCAAAACGCGGCAACCAATTGCGCACAGCCGTGTCCCACAAACAGTCGTGGATTGAAAATGACCCATTTTATTATTGCTTTGTTTTGGAGCGATTATTACTCCCAACTGTAGAGTGGATGCTCTCAATGTGCTGTGATATTTGTGTCATTTGTTTTAATCAGTTACCGACTGTTTCTAATTGTAACGTTTCTTCTTAGGAGATCCTTCCTGGTTTATATCTAGGCCCTTATTCTGCAGCTATGAAAAGTAAGGTATGAACTTTGAGAAATAAAATCAAGTATATGGTGTGCTGAATAACAGGAAGCAAAAACCCACTTTTGTTTTGAGAAAACTCTTTTTTGTAGAATTTAACTAATTAAAAAGAGACATTTTTGTAATACACTTGTGGAGGAGGGGGGCGTTATATTGCTACTTTATCGTGATTTGTGAGCACTTTACATATGACTGCTTAACACTTATGTGTAACAAAATGTATTGAAAATTAAAAGGTTCGAGCAGCGGGTGTGGTAAAGAGAGTGTTAGAATGAGTTTAGTTCTTCAAGATTGTTTGCTTAATTGTATTGAGAAGCATTTCTTGCCATTCCCACTTGCAGTATAATGCTGCCTCTGTAGTCTCTTAATACTGCTTGGGCAACTTCCCCCCAAGAGGTAGTTCAGCATCAATAGCCAAAAAAAGTCAGGCAAGTAAATAAGTTCATTGTTAATTAGTAAAAGTTGAAATTGTTAAATTGTATGTATATTAGTAAGAAATAAAGTTAATGGCAGCATAAACAGAACAAAAGAAAAGATGGGATAAGCAAAAATAAAATGTTTATGTTTACATTTTTACATCGAAACAAATTACAACATTGAATGTCATGGCACAGAAACCAGCCAACTATTCCGTGGCAGAGTTTTTTTTACTTCGTATGAGTCTTCTCAACTTAATCTGTCATGTATGCCTATGTATTACATGACAGCTGTATTCAACAAAGAATGCATGTCAGTTAGATTATTTCTACAGTTTTCAAGTTGCTATGAAAATTCATCCCTAATAATTCTGCTGTGGATTAGTTTCAGTTTAAGTAGATGGCAAGAGCTGATCCTTGAAACACATATATCCACTTTCATGATTTTTGAAAACCTTTTAGAATGAAATGTTTTGAGTAAAATGTGTAAATGTTTATTTGCAGTTGCCTATTCTTGAAGAAAATGGAATAACTCACATAATATGTGTAAGGCAAGACATCGAGGCAAACTTCATCAAGGCAAACTTCCAAGAGAAGTTTAGGTAACTGTTCAAAAGTGTGTTTGGTTTGATGTTTTAAAACTTCTTCAACAGCACATTGCAGTCAAACTGGCAGAACTTAATTTGTGCAATTAGTACTTGTATTCTAGTTATAGTATTCAGTGAACAATCAAGCATAATAAAAGTGCATGTGTACATAGGGCATCTTTTTCAAACTTCCTCTCATAGAGGGGAAAGAGGTAGAGTTGGTATTCTGGAAGGAGGAAATCAAATGGGCTTGAACAGTCTTCTTCATCTGACCCTGGAGACTAAATGTACATTGTGATTTGATCCTAAGTTGCCTTCAGTAATAGCTGTAAGCCAACTGGTTTTTGTCAATTTATTTGATCTCAGTTGAATCTTGCACTGGAGGGTTAGATACTGGGCAGGCCATTAGTTCCACCAAGTGAGTGGCTGCAATACCATTCAGCGGAGCCAATGATGGGAGACTGTCCTCACCTCAACAGCGTATTGTGCTTTCATGCACTAATGTGTATGTGAAAAATGTGCACCCAAAAAAAAGCAAATGTTGTTACAGTTACTTTTCGATTGCATAGTGGTCCTGTAATCAAAATGTGCTGTCTTCAATTTACAGGTATTTAGTTTTGGATATTGCAGATAATCCAGTTGAAAATATTATACGATATTTTCCCGTGGTAGGTACTTTGTACTTTTTTAATTTAAAAGAACATGTTTCTAACATGTAAAATAGATTTTTAAAATTGCAATATTATGAATTTTGTGACACTGATTATGATTCTTCTCAGTCCTAATAAATGAGTAACTGGATGACACTTATTTGGGGTTCTCAAAACTATTTCTTGAGATTTTACATTTATTTATCAACAAGGATGAGGAAATGTACAAACCATTGAAGTCTATTTTTGTTTTACAAAGCTCTTTGAGCATTTGTTTGAATCTAAATTGACCTGTGACCTAATACATGGGTAAAATATACTGAATATTGACTCTTCATTTATTGAATACATATGATTCCACCTTCCAGTACCTTTTGGTTGATTTTTTTCCCTTTGTATTCTCAGTTTGGTGAAGTTCCTTTGTAGGTTGCTTGATCACTAGGACATCTAGTTGTTCCAGATCGTGCCCCTCACGTGACACCTTTGACTTTGAAATATTAAATCATTAGGGATTTCAGTTCTTTAAACACCAAATATTTCTGATCCCAGATTAAGAGTGGTTTCATCATTTGAGTGGACTCCAGGTGCAATATGCTAATTTGTCACAAATAAATATTCTTTGTAGCTAAATGTTTATGCAATTTTCTTTATTTCAGACCAAAGAGTTTATTGATGGATGCTTGCAAGGTGGAGGTAAGCAAAACTGGATTTGTTTTGATAGTTGTACCTTTTATGTTTCCTTAATAGATTTAACCATAATGATCTATTCTGCCCGCTTTGCATTTTCAGGAAAGCTTCTTTTACATGGAAATGCAGGTATTTCTCGAAGGTAGGAAGGGATTTTGTTTTGGGGATCTCACATTTTACTTTTTCTTTTCCATTTCTTTTGAGGAAGATTGCTGATTTTTCTTTTTCCCCCTTCAGTGCTGCCTTGGTGATAGCATATATAATGGAAACATTTGGTCTTAAATATAGGTGAGGAATAAAACAATGCTTATGATGTTTCATGTCAGGCAATGTTATTTTTGTTATCAGTTATGTTATCACTTCTCAAGATTCAAGTTAAAGGGTTTTATAATAGTGGCAATTAATACTAATTTTAGGAGTCCTTTCATAAAGAGTTTGTTATGAATTGAGTAATTTTAGTGCACAGGTGGTTTACATGACAACAAATTATATATTTTACATCTTCCTTTCATTCTTTAGGGATGCCTTTACATATGTTCAGGAGAGACGATTTTGCATTAATCCAAATGCTGGATTTGTTCATCAGTTACAGGTAATTGCTGTATTTGTATTATTTGTGATTAAAGAAACTTAATAAAAAATGGCAAACAGAGTTTAGGATTGGGTATTTTGATGTAAATTTTATTTAAATTATGACTGACAAAATATATGGTGATACTCATTTTATTGCTGGGGGCTAGTTTGTGAGGTCTTTTAGGTGTAAGGTATTTTAAAGTTTCTAAAAATTTTTTGAGGGATTATTAAATTATACATGTCTTAATCTTCACAACTTGCTGGAACGGTCATGCTCTCTTCAATCTTTTCAAAACTGGTGATGACTAAATTTCTCAAATTCAAAGTAACCAGTCTGAATAAAGTAACTTGTCTGAATAACACAACTGGTATAGTCTAATAGGAAACTACATACTTGAAAAATATATGCAAATTAATCCATGATTAACAAGAGCTAAGAATATGTTTTGAAAATGGCTTGACTTTAAATCTTTTGTATAAAACAGGAGTATGAAGCCATTTATTTAGCAAAATTGACCATAAAGATGATGTCACCACTGCAACTAGGAAGATCAGTTTCTGCACAAGGTTAGTAATTGTTCTAAATTGATTTCAACATTGCATGGCATACCAAATTTACGAGAAATCATTTGAAGCATTAGCAGTAATGTTTTTAAAGATGTTTCACTGAGTCTGAAACAAATCAATTAGGAATTGTGGATGCATGAACAGTCATTTCTAGAATAATTCTTAGTTTTTTCTCTTTAGATTCTCACTTTTGTCAGGGTTCGAGATGAAACTAGAATAGTTTCCTTTTATTGTGGAGACCATTTAAAGGAGCTTCTCAGATTCAGAGTCTGAGAAGAAAGCAGATTGATTGGTTTGGAATCCATATTAGATTTATTCCTTTGAAATGTAAATCTCAATCCACAAGGTTAATCACTACTTCTGATCTCCTTGGGGTCATTGGGAATTTGCCTTCCCTTTATGGTGCACCCAAGACAGCACAGCAGGATCGAGGCTAGGTATCCATTGTAAGAGTTAGATGGGACTGCCCAATTTGTCTTGAACTGTTTATCTATCTCTTATTGCGTCTTCTTCAGCAGTTAATGCAAGACTCCATTCTGCATAAATGCATGTTGCTGTGGAATTTTTTGGAATTAACTTTCTTAGTACTTATTACCCATTGTGAATTGAAGTGAAGCATTTGACATTCCCTTTTGAATGTTATCATTTAGGAACGTTGAAGAGGATGCTAGAAGATGATGATGATATTTCAAATATGCAGGTGGCTGCAGCCCATGATGGATAAACTGTAACTGCCCATTATTTATAATGGACATATTTAACTGTACTGTATTACACGTGGAACAAAAGGAGGATGGAAAACATTAAGAACAGAACTGTCGATTTTAGGATTATGAATACTACTTTCAACGGAAGAGATTGAAGAAACTACATGTCAAAATTTACTTTTATTTCTGTCCCTGATTGACTCAGTATTTCTGAGGAAGTAATTCCGGTGCAGAAGATATGCCATTCCTGGAAGCACCAGAATCTGTTATGAAAAAAAGAATATACTGATTGTGACAGAAAATCCTGAATTTTTGATGGATTTACAAGTCTTCAAATGCTAATAATTTTAAATTTTTACCAATTGCAGTTTTATGACAGATGTATGCATGTGCTGAGAGACCATAATGAAAACAAGGCACTTTTGATACTTGAATTTTGATTGTATGTGAGTTTGATAGGGAAAAAATGCACTGTGTGCTTGACATCAGACCCATACAAGCAATTTATGTTACAAAGTGTTAAAATCTTTTTGAGTCTAATTTATTAAAGCTTTCAGTAAAGATTTGCATAAAACATTTTTGTGACTCATTTCGTATGGTGCATTCCATCTTTATTTTTATAGTTGAGAATGAAGTGAACTAACTAAATAATTTGACAAGTTATATTTTATTACAGTTCAATATTTTATTTGCCACAAACAGCTATTGTACAAAGGTAAATAAATATAGCACAAAATAAACCTGCAGTAACCCAATACCAAATAAAAAAAGAGAATACCCTTAGCTCTTGCCAATCCATAAAAGTACTTAAGAGCAAAATTCCAATCTACATAGTATTCTGTGGGTTGTAATTTATTTTTTAAATAAATAAATACTGCTATACAAAGTTGGTTTTGCAGCCTTTTGTTAAAATATTTAGTATTATAATTAAATGCAAGGTAGGAAACAGGTTTGAGGACTCAATGTTGGCAACTTGGTCCCTAAATTTAAATAATTGTCAATTGTAACTGAAAACTTCAACACATCACATCTTTAATTGTTACTATATTTCTCTTCAAGTACACAGTCTGGATAGAACATTCCCACATGAACAGTAGATCTAGAAGTGTAAACTACAGCTTAACTGATGCAGTAGTACAAAATTAAGGCTCCAAATAAAAATATTTTTAAAAAAAAGTTTTTGGCATGGAATGTAAATATCATTTTTAATTAAAAGTAAATTCCTTTATAATAAAAATTACCCAAGCTGCATATTTTGCACTGCAATGAACTATTCCTATATAAAACTATATAAAATTCAACATATAATCAAACCTACTTAGACACACATACTTACTAAGTCCCATTTTTGATTTTTAAAGAAATTATATTAATATTTTTGGCTACTCCCATATAGAGAATATACAATAGGAAACAGAATAAGCATTGTAGATTTCTTCATTGTGTAATCCAATTGTTTTAGTATTACAGTATATTAGCAACAAAATTGTTTTACTGGACACTAGTACTTCATTATATATTGTGAGCAGCTCTTTGTATATGGTGCTTCCCTCTTGAAAACCAATTCATGATGGTGTGTAGCTTCCTCTTCCCAAATGCCCATCCTGCCTTATACGCTAAAACTTGGTGTTTTAAGACTCAGTTTGACTCCACACAATAGGTTTACCAACTGAGTCATCAAGGACATCTTTTTCAATCATCATGGTGTGCATGTAGCAAATTAAAACAGCTTGCAATATGGACCATCAAATCAAGCTATGGAACAAAGCTACTGCAAAAAAACATAAATCACATTTGGTACTACTATAAACTGGCTGAATGCAGTACAGTTAGATCAACAGAAAGAGGAAGAAGTGGTTCTAGTCAGTGTTAAAACATTTCTCAGTGAAAATCATACACTGGATAAAAACGCACCCAAGGTTGGAATGCAAGTACAGCAATATGCACAAACTCAGAATAAACCACACATCTGTGTACCGGAAAAGACATTGGTTTAAATTAATATGAGTTTATTTACAAGAAGAGTTTGATACTTTCAGATAAAAGTTAGGGAAGTTAAGTATTTTATCCTTTTAATAAGAATGCCTCTATTTTTTCTCAACGTGCATCCCAGAGCAGAAATCCAGTTAATTCTTCATTTAAAAATAATTGAATCGAGGAAAGTACTAATCAGATTTCTAAATAAATCTAGCACATAAAAAAAATTCGAACGTAGGCAAAAAAATTAAATTTTTGCAGCTCGACTTGCTAAACATTTAAAAAAAAATTATTCCTTTATCTTGTTACACAACCTTTTAGATTCCTGTCATCAAGTCAACTATAGTTTTACCTGCAATCAGTTTTTTTTACATATAAAAAAAATCTCCCAATACATTTGCAGTACCACTAAAAAGTAAGATCTCAAAATCATTATTAAAGTACTAAGATGTGTAGTGATGGTGATTGTGCAGAGCAGCAGTTTACCAGTAAATCCTCTGCAAGATATTTCTAGATAAATAATCCAGCAAGAAGTTCAACAAGTCTCAATCAAAAAATCTATTCTGCATATAGACGTCTTCTCCAACTTTAAATCCAAATTTTTCATAGAAGGCTGTGTTCTTTGGTAGACATTCTAACGTGGTTTTGTAACAGTTTAACTTTTTGCTGAGAAGTGTGAGTACTGCAATTAACCTGAATAAACAGAAAGTTTAGTAACACAATATTCTTACACAGCGCAGTGCTCAATGAGGCTTTTACAAGGAACCGTTATATTAAAAAAAGTCAACATTAATTAAAGAGCTGTCAGTTAAACTAAAGCTAGGCTGGTGAGGACAATGGGAGCCAGGATTTAATTGTTCGGATGAAATTCTACAATCTTTTTTTTTCCCCCACAAGGAAGCCTTTGATATTTTTTATCTTCTCAAAATGAATTTACCTCTGACGATAGTGATATGACGTATGTTGCTTCCTTATTCATTGAGATCTCATTTATGGATGTCTGATGAGTCATTGAGCTATACAATTGCTACCTAAACATTTGAGATTACAGCCTTGGAAACTATTCTGCATTTTTAGTATATGTATATACTGTACGATATACTTTCTGGGATTATTTCTATTGATTTATCTTTAGGGAGGAATTTGTGGCATTGGAATCACTTGCTGGTGGGTTTTTAGTTTGGAAAAGGAAAATTGATTCCTATTGAATACCTTGCAACACATATGAACTAATTTCATGTTGTGTCCTATCTCTCTCTCTTCTACCCATCTACCCCCGGCTAGATGATGAAAGTTGTCAAGTTATTTGACCTGTGATGAGCTGACATGCAGTTTATCAATCTGTATTGTTGCTGCCTAGATAGTAATATTTACACAGAGTCAAGAAAGGTCAGTTACAGTATGCGACATACTATAACACACAAGTCAAATGTCAAAGCACTTACAGTTTCCCAAGTTGCTTTCCTCTGCATTCATCACGGACAATAACTTCTTCTATTCTCCCTCTCTAGATTTTAGAAAAAGAGTGCCTTTAAATTTCTTTTATTCACTCCATCATATTTAAATGGTTACAATATTGAAATATTACCCATAGAAAGCCAAAAATATTCTAAACCGTTAAGAGGCGATCAAACCAGTGCATCACAATTGGCCTGAATCTCATCCAACGATAATGTATAGAGTTTTACCAGAAAGAGCATTGTCAAAGCCAATTTTAGTACCTTACCACTTGTACGAGAGTTTCTCCATAGTTTGGTATCAAAGCATTTAGTTTTTGAGGGTGAGAGGATGAGGTGTCCCACTTCCCAAAATGATGCTCCTTGTTCAGTGCATCAACAAACCGTGCAAATAAACACTTATCAAGAAATTCATCTCCTGAAACAGAAATTCATATCAAGAAAACATCCCAGCTGGCTCTAATTGTAGCAGGAGAAGACATACCTTTGCACAAGAATGTATAAATTTATGTTCAATCAATAGCGTCGCTGAACCAATAATCTGTTCAAGTTTTGTGTCTTCAATCACAACAATATAGTAATCCCCAGTTTGTTTCATGTGCTCAAACTTTTCTGTGAAGTTTTAGAAAATGACAGTGAAATAAATGTTACAAAAATGCATCCAATGAAAACGTACTTTTCTGGTAACAAATCTATCTTTGATTGAACATTTTTCTTGCATTAGAACTGCTGATGGACAATTTTAGCAACTTCTGCAATAGTGCGATTGGAAGGGCAGGGATACTTCTTTTGAACACTGCTCTAAGCCAATTTGAATTTATTTCTTATATTGATACAAAAGGTTCAGTTGGTGACCTGCTGCCACATCTCCATTAAAATCAATCACTCTTAAACCCGTTCCCTTTTAAAAATAAACTATTTAAAAAGCATTTCCAAAACATATTACAGATTGTTATAATCAAATATTCAAATGTAGAATTATTCTCTTTTAATGTGGGTGCATTTAATGTGAATTCAATTCAATCCAATTATAAATTTAGGGTATTTCACCCTCAATTCTCAAACCTTCTAGGACCATTCATGACTTTAGTATAATGAAGAGTTGTGAATCACATTTGTTCTTAAAACATGAATTAAAATGCTGTTAAATTCTGTAATTAAATAACCAATTTTCCAATGTTCAAATCCTGACAGTACTCTAGCTCTTTTTAACAATATTAAACATAGTGTGTGTAGAGTCATTGCGCAGTAATAAAGATACAAGATTCAAACTTCAAAATTAAAGACTACTTACTTAGAAACTGTTCGGTTGTAACTTCACCAACCTTTGTTAACTGCGAGAGTAAATCAAAAAGCCCTGTAATGAAAGTTAAAACTCAAATGTGATCGACAGCCCAAACAGTACCAATTCATGAGGTTTTGTTGCTATTAGGTTGAATATCCACTGGGTGTCACTTCTTTAAGTTCCCAAAGCTTTGTCTACAAGAAGTGAGGGTTGGGGCTGTTCTGAAGTGAGAAAATACAGGTATGTCAATTGCCCCCATTCGTTCCATGTATATTTGAAATCATACAAAGGTTTCAGCCCTCAGCCATGCCAAGGTGCTCGTAATTCATTGTGTGCTTTCAATCAAACAAGAACAGAAATGCCACACTTTTTGGAAAATATTTTTCCCCCAAAAGTAACATATAACATTTGGTTTATTTATTAACTGAAGTCTTCATTATTTATTCAGGAAAATGAAATCCACAAATTACACAAGAGGTAAGTATTTGTGCGACTACTTAAAAGTCACACTATAAGGCCAACTTATAGGCCTTCAAATGAAAACCTCCCTTTTGCTTGTTCCCAAAATATAAGTACTATTTTAGAAGATAACTGAGAACCAATGAGACAACGTGGTTTGGATAACTGAAATAGCTAACGCCAGTTAGTGGAAACAAGTACATTTCTTAAACTGCACTATCGATTAGAAATTACATTATTGACAAATTGTGTAAAGTGTAGTAGAATTAATACAATCTGATAGTGATTATATAGTGGAAGTCAAATTACTTTGTGAATTAGATAAAACACTTGGCACTGAAATTTACCAAAAAAAAGCCTTAAATGGAGTATTAAGTATTTAAAAGAAGAAAAAACTTTCTCAGTAGCCTATAAATTAAACATTCCAATTTAAAAAATCACATTCATTTAGAATTAGAGATATGTGGTCGGTCATTCACCACAAAGACGATTCAAATAATACCTCTGTTGAAATCAACAGTGCAGAGCGGTCTCAAAACCAGTCCTTCCCCAGGGCTCGAAGGGGAGACATCAGGAGTAAATTTCACTGTATTCTGGTTCCAGTCCAGATCTTTTAACAGAGTGGGATCGAACATGGGGGTATCATCGAGAGTCATGGCAGGAGATACAGTTCGAAAACACTGTGAAGAAAAATGTAATATCATTAGCATCCTAATTAAAAAAACAATGAATGTTCTTCATTGCTTGTCACTGAATCCTCCCAAAATAAACGGCACTATATAAATGTAAATGATATCACAAATTATATTAATATTTTATTTATTATACAACAAGAATGCTCGATGATGTGTTTTGCTGGGAATTAAAATTATGGTACATTGAAAGAAAATGACATGGGAGAGTTATTCATTGACATAGTAGTTTGTTTTACTATTCCCCAAGAAAGACTGATCCTAAAACATTATGAATGCCATTTCAATTTGGCTGCTAAGTGAAAAGAGTAGAGCACAAGTGCCTTCCAGTTATCCATCCCCATGGAAAAGCACTCTGCTGCTGTGGATTAATTCACATTCCAATAAGCTGCATCTTGGATAAATTGGAGGGATACAGGAAGGGAACAAAACATAACCAACTACGCAGGAAACATTATATGGACATAGAGGACCGTAATCTCATTTTAAATTTCACCGAGTTACCAACTACTACAGTTCATTACATATCTGAACGCCCTGATGAGATTACTGCTTTGTCATCAAAGCCCATAAATATATTACTCTCTGTGGCTTTTTTAAAAATATTTGTACTGGATAACATAGGTACATATAATGGGAGGGACTGCACAAACTGAACAAACATATTACTCTTATCTTGTCAGTGACTGAAAAGGAAACAACGTAGAAATGATTTATAAATGCCTACTAATTAATTTTTGTCACTGGATTCCATTTCCAACTCAATGACTTGGTAAAGTGCATTGGAGAGATTTTACCACAGACCATTCCTGACAATTCGTGTTACAATCTGTTTTATATAATAGGATTACAGTTTTTACTTTTATTCAGAATTAATTATTAATGGTAATTAAAACAATAATCCTTTCAGTTGACGTGGTGCCTTTCACATCAGGACAACATTTTGAAGCGCTTCTGAGGATTTATCGTCAAGTGTCTCTATCTACACTACACAATCTACAATTGGCTTCAGCACCCTTGGGTTGGGCAGGGAGAGAAGAATACAACCAGTATTTCAACTCCTGACAACTATATAGAGAATCCTGTTGGAAAGTGCGTTTGTGTGAAAAGATCAGGCTCAGCGTGGATGCTCCCTGGAGTCAAACAGCCAGTAAAGACTCAGTGTCAAGGCTCACAGATGAGTCAGTTGGCCATACACCAATAAGGTGATCAGTATTCTTGGAACCCCATTAGAAGGTGGAGGGGTGGGGGGAGAAGGACGAATTCAGCCACTTTCATAAGAAAACAGGCAGTAAGAAAATCAGCACCTGGTTCACACTGTAACAGGCCACTCATTTACGCCCTGGGCTTGTCAGACAATCCTACCCTGAACCTCACTGCAAAGCTTACACGGCTTCACCGGGTATCATTTGCTGCTGATCATCAATAATAATAATAATAATCCTTGCATTTGACATAGCGCTTTTCACGTCTTCTCGACGTCTCAAAGCGCTTCACAGAACAGACTGCAAAGTGAATTGACCGTATATTTGTGGGCGAAACGGTTAACAAAATGGTTTTGTTCAACAAAACCGAGCGCTTGTTTTAATGAATAAGCACTTCACACGTGGGACCGGGGGACCCACTGCTGGAGTCCTCCTTCCTCCCGGACCCGGTGGCTCACAGCGGTCACCCTCCTCCCGGCTCGGCATCGCTCCGCCAACTCCGAGACCCCGCGAAGAACACTATAGAAATGCAAGTCGTTGTGGCTGTGACCGTAACTTCGCGGCCGATGTCACGCCGCTGAGGCGTCTCAAAGGCGCTTCACAGGATATCTACCGTCAAAGTGTATTTCGGACCTGAGGTGTAGATGGTTACGGGGGGGGGGGAGTAAAAAAGGGGCTCTGAGAGGTGAGGAGGGGGGAGGGGAGGGGGGAGGGAGAGGTGAGGAGAGGGAGGGGAGGAGGGGGGAGGGGAGGGGGGAGGGGGGGGAGGTGAGGAGGGGGGATGGGAGGGGAGGGGGGAGGGAGAGGGGGAGGTGAGGAGGGGGGAGGGAGAGGGGAGGTGAGGAGGGGGAGGAGGGGAGGGGTTCTGGGTGTGTGGTGGTGGTCTATCTATCCAGCGACAGGCGAGAGGGAGGCCCAGAGTAACAGGAGCCGGTGGGGAGCGGCGGCGGCGGGAAGAGGAGGAGGAGGATAACCCGGGCAAAGCGAGCGAGCGGCGGAGAGAGGGAGGGAGTGAGGGAGAGGGAGAGAGGGAGAGGGAGGGAGGGAGAGGGAGAGGCCATGTGGTAACTCACCCAGAGCCTGAAACAGGGACGAGGATCCGCCGCCGCCGCCGCCGCCGGCTCTGCGTCTCGAGCGGCTGTCACTGACGTGGCAGAAGCCAGGCCGCCTCCACACACACGCACACACGCACGCACGCACGCGCGCACACGCGCGCGCGCACACACGCCCCGCCCCCCACGCTCCGCCAGCTGACGCGCTGACGCAACGTTTACGTGCGTGCGGAGGAGGAGGCGGAGGAGCGCAAGTCCGCGGCTACTTTGGGCGACATTGGGCGGGTTTCACGCCCGACCGGGCGGCTTTTTGCTTTTTTTTTTGCTTTTGGTGGTTTGGTTTGGTTTTGCTTTGTTTTGTGCAGAAAGAAAGCTGATGTTTTGTTTTAAAAAAAACTGATCTAAACCTGCAAAACTTTTTCCCTTTTTTTTCTATTGTATAAAAAAAGACCTTTTCTTACACGGCTCCGAACGCGCTAAGTCTGAAACCGACTTCTCTGCTGCCCAGAGCGAGCCACGCGTAACCATAGAATCGTGGAATTATACAGCGCAGAAGGAGGCCATTCGGCCCATAAATGATTATAATCAATATTGGGCTATTTTGGGGGATAGTATTGATTCGGTTGACTTTGGGCTACAAAGGTTATTTTTAATTTCTGGTTTAAAATAAACACAACCCGGTCATCGACACGGGGAATGTTACAGTGGCAGTGTGCACCCAGCATACACCAACAGGCTTCACTGGTTATAATTTGTGATAATAAGCTTACGTTGCCTGCGGAATTGGCTGCCACGTCTCGCCCACAAAATATAGAGTCAATTCACTTTATAGTATATTCGGTGAAGCGCTTTGAGACGTCCTGAAGCCGCGTTAAGGCGCTATATCAAATGCAAGGATGATTATTACATCTGGGCATTCTTGTTAACCCAGGAAGCTACTGATGGTGAATAGTAGCTTCCGGATAGTAGTCTCTGGAATTTCCATGTGTGGGTGGGATGCATGGAATTCTCAGTTTGGTTTGGAGATTTTTAAGCCTGGTGATGCATAAGTAGGATTTCCACATTAAGTCAGACACCCGGCTGCCAAAAAAAAATTGTTTTGAGAGGCCGGTTTATAGATGCAGGAATCACCAGGATGGTTGATTGGGCAGTAAAAGTAAGGGCGTTTCCTGCATTGCGAGAAGAGGGTAACAGTAAGGTCCACATACAAGCGGGTCTAATTTTAACAACAAACAAATGATTCATTTTTTATTCCTTAATGGTTCCTGATAACGTACAGAGAGCCTGAAGGTTCCAAGGTAGATTTATTAACATGCTGAATTGATTGAACGCTGCCTGAGTGATAACGACACGCTACAATTTCCTTCTCCTCCACCACCCAAGTTAGATAAAGAGAGGGCGAGGACGATCACCGTCCATTTTTATGTAAGAAAGTGGCCACTTATGGATAATAATAATAATAATCCTTGCATTTGATATAGCGCTTTTCACATCTTCTATACGTCTCAAAGCACTTCACAGAATAGACTGTAAAGTGAATTGACTGTATTTGTTTTGTGGGCGAAATGCGGCAGCCAATTACGCACGGCAGCGTCCCACAAACAGTCGTGGTTTGAAATGACCAATTTATTTTTTTTTCTTGAGGGATTATTATCAGAGGTGTGGAGTAAGGAAACTTGCCCAAGGTTTCACCCTGCCGGGAATTGAGCCCAGGTCTCTTGCATACAAAGCGAATGTTGGGTGACATTAGATCAATAGGAAATAGCTTGCTGAGACCCCACTGGTTAGTCTGACACATAAAGAGTGAGTTACTGAACTTTGCTGCTGTCCATGGAACAAAATCTTTGCAATATTCAGCACCATAATAATAATCCTTGAATTTGATATTGCACTTTATACCAAATATTTTCCGGTAAAGTGTAGTAACTGCACCTTCAGAGTGGAAGTGTGAAAAACAAATTTGGGGATCTTATTGGAGCTACTGGGAAGATGTTCCGCAATCTGTAATATTTCCTCCAAACTCTGCACACAACACATTTGTGCAGAATTCTGTTACGATTAAAATGTACAATTTCAATCTTACACTGCATAAATTACAGATTTGCAACCATCCTAGATGGTGTTTAAACCTATTTTCACACTCATAATTTACTTAAGAAGGAGAAACGTATTTATATTAATAAGGCAAAAAATGGTTTGCAATCATTGTATTTTTTCTTTAAAATGCTGCATGTGAAAAAAAACAATATTGAAGTATATATATGTATGGTAAACATTATTGTCCACTCTCTGGAGAAATTAGAGATCAGCTGGAGCATTCCCACTGCACCAGTATAACATTTTCCACTTTCCTTGGCAACATTCCTTGTGGTTTTTCTGACGCAGAACATCAGATTATGAGTTGACTCAGACCAGTGGTACATTCTTTTTATTGCAGTTATAAATTGCACATTTTCACAAGCAGGATCTAGCCAGACCATTAAGCTGCAAGGGGGACTTTGAAGGAAGATATCCAGATTATACACAACAATTTGCATTTATATAGCACCCTTCACACGGGGTAGCGTCCCGGAGCACTTGAATAATGAAAACTTATATCAGGGAAACCTTTTTTGGGTTGCATAAATGCATTTGTGCTGATTGCAAATCTCCGTTTTACCATGCGCAGGCAACTATGAACAATACTCTTTAAAATCTGTGGCTTGACGCACCTTTTCAACTCTAGGGCTTTCTGAGTTTATTACAATATTAAACACAAGTCAGATCTCAGCCAGTGAAGTGGATGTACAATATAATGGCCACGGGGAGGCAGCATAGATTAACAGTCAAGTGAAGGAAACAAAGAATTTAAAATCCTGGCAGGGTTCTGAGATATGTTGTGATCAGCAATACAATAACCATTAGGAATTCTAAGGTGGAGCTGCAATGCATGGCATGTTTCAGTGGGCTTACATTCATATTCAAAGATGTTCGGTCGCAAAAGAAAGTTTAACTTACTGGCCATTTTCTTTCAGATTTCCAACAATTTTGCTGTCTATTTCAGATTTAAACATGTTTTAAAAATCAGGTTTGTGCAGGACAAAGGAATGGATAGTGTCACATACAGCATACAATGGCAGGCTGTTTCCCACCTTCTCCAGACTAACCTCATTGCCTTAGCAACGTAAAGATCAATGCTAAACAAGGGAGGGTAGCTGTGTACCTGTTCACAGACAGACCTTTCATTAACAGGGTAAATGAACCATGTACAATAAATAAAGGATTTATCAGGTTAAGCAGCATTAAAGCAACAATACTTGTCAAGTTTTCATCTACTGGTATTCTTGTTTTACAAGTGTATAATTTTACAATCAGCAAACACACTGTAGTTGTAAAAGGTTGGAACAAATGTAAGTGTTTTAGCTGCTCATTTTATAATAATAATGATAATCCTTGCATTTGATATAGCGCTTTTCACGTCTTCTAGACGTCTCAAAGCGCTTAACAGAATATACTGTAAAGTGAATTAACTGTAGATTTGTGGGCGAAACACGACAGCTAATTGCGCACGGAAGTGTCCCACAAAAAACGTGGATTGAAAATGACCAATTTATTATTGTTTTGTTTTGGAGGGATTATTATTAGGTGTGTGGAGTAAGGAAACTTGCCCAAGGTTTCGCCCTGCCTGGAATTGAACCCAGTTGTCTCCTTGCAAGGCGAGTGCTCTAACCACTGAGCTACAGGACAAATAATAGTCAACTTCAAGGCCCTTCTCAAGAGCTCCTATTCGACCTTGCCTTCGGTCACACTCCTACTCCCACCCTCCCTGCCCTTCACTTCTCCTGATCTCAACCCCCAGCTGGGGTGCAAATCCTTGTCTGTCCAGCACCTTGGGACGCCCTCCCTCCTTGAAATGCGTTATACAAATAATTTGTTGTCGTTGTACACAATGACACTCCATAAGCATCTTAAACTAAATCTGGGCAGCAGCCATAAAATGTCCTAGAAATAATGCTATAGTATCACCTTCATTCCTTTGCTTGTCACAATACTGATTGGTGTTTCACCTCCACAGTTTTATCTTTGTCTGTGAAAATCAAATATGGCTCAAGGGAAATTATGCTTTTATAATCTCATATAATAGAAAGGTAGATCATGACAGGTAAGTGGCAGAGTTATACCATGAATAGAATTAAAAACATGAAGAGGATAACATGGGGAGCGGAAAAGGCTTTTTTGAACTACTGTGAATTATGGTAATTCCCTTATTATTTCAAGGAATAGATTCATGAGTGAGTAAAACGTCTACTGTGTTAATGTTGAAGGGGACTATATTCCATTGTTTCAATAAGTTACTCACAAACACAATCCTCTGCCAAGTCTTCCAGACCATATGTTGCTTTCTTGTGGAGATCTACTGTATAACGTGATCATTTCCCCTCACAAAGAAAAGCCACATTTCTCCTCCTTCCCATTGTGCCTGCAGAGAAACGAACTCAGATTTCTCAGTAGGTGGGGCTCAATCGGAGTATTTGGTTGCAAATGTCAGAGGAAGCAATGTGTAGTGAAATCTGTTGTCACAATCTTTCATTGGAAGGGTGGAAGGATTCATGATGACGGGAGCCTGCTGGCTGAGCGTGGTTGAGAATGTGATAAAACCGAATCAGTAAAGAGCCAGTTCCACTCATATTACAGAGCAGAGTGATTCAGAGACTCTAATTCAAACAAGGCTTTGCATTTACTGCTTCATCAGGCTGTGGCTAATAGGACCGGGAGATAAAATATGTGGGAATAGCGTTGGAAGAATTGGATAAGGGAATTGGGGATTTAATTTTTTTTCTCACCCTCCTCTTTGAAAAATACTGGCTCTTCCTGGGGGGCAATGCGGTACACTGTCCAGATAGCACGTAACAGTGTGCGTCCGTAGACAATTTGACTATAGATGGATCTGATTCTCTTTTACTACAAGCACACACTTTCCAAGCAGGGTTACTGGGTAGTGATCAGGAGCAGGGACTTTATTTGATTTTTTTTTACTTCCGAGTGCACAGATTCTGAGGCAAATTATAGTGCAACCGCCACCCTGGAATGATATTAGCTAATTCAGGGATCAAACGGGATCTTTCTCTCCTCTTATGATTAATAACATAATAATCCTTGCAT